ATGTGTATTGTACAATAAATAAATAAATACATTTTCTTTCGCGGATCAACACTGGATTCCTACTTTTTTTCCGAAATAAAATACTACCTTGTTGTTTTTTCGATACATTAACCTCTTTTAAGGAATAAAAAGGAATGATTTTTTTTTTCCATTGTGTTCACCAAATAAAATAGTAAGGTATGTGCTTTAGACAACACGATAGAACTGAAAACACCAATTAGGCGAGATTAATAATATGAAAGATAAATTATAAATAATAGCTCATGGTAAAGAGGATGAAATGCTGAACGTTTTCCTCGCTTACACCATGCAGGCTCGATTTTCAGTTTATGAAATATATTAATCCATATCTTCCATAACACTCGTTATCATTTGGTTTTCGGCACTATTTTTCCGCTTTTCGCCTCTCCAACACGGCGTAGCGTTAAAATACAATTTTGAACAAAAACCCATCATTGAGAGGATGAAATGTTGAACAATACCCTAGCTTACAGTATGCAGGTACAATTTTTAGTTTCTGAGATATTTTAATCCATGGAAAAACTTCAATTATTCGATTTCAGCTGACTTTACCCGATCGTTACAAATCGGAAATCTGACGGCTCAATCTAATTCACTCTCCACGAAAAAGTGCAAAACGCGCCTAAAGAAATTTTCACTTCAAAAATGCTACGGGAGAGCAAGACGTAATGGAATCGTTAGATAAGTCCAAGGTGAATTTAATTGAAGCAGTTAGATGCCGCCGGTAAATTTGTAGATTAATTGCCACAATGATTGAATTGAAAAACATCTCACATAAGAGATGGCAAAATTTATTACGATTTTGCTCCAAGATTATATTCATTCAATAGCTTCATAAACATTTATATTTATTTATTTATTATAAGTAATAAAAGCGAGTAGTTAACAGTACTAAAAACTAACAGCATTTGCTTCATTCATTCAAAGAAATCAAATTAAATGTTTTGTAAAGTAAATCGTTTTGAAAATTCGGCATATAAGCTTTATTCAATGAGGATTATAGCTGCCTGATAATATAGACCTTTTAATTTTATATAGCAACGAGTTATATCAAAACCATTAGTCTTTTTCGAGGAAATGGTAAATAGAAGTTTTAAATGGAGTATTTAAAGTGATATTTCCTCTAAACGGATTTTAAAGTAAAAAGACGCTATAACATCCTAGGTCCTCTCGTGGAACCAGAAGAGGGACACCCTCCAAAATTTTATCTTGAATAAAGTAAGTAAACAACGGGCACTTTTATTATTATTTTTTTTAATTGAAAAGTAGATAATATTAAACAATTAATTTTTATTTATACTTCGTATTCAAAAACAATGAAGAATAAAAAAAATCGGAATATTTATACCAAAACTTATTTTTCATTTATCGGCTTAATATTTCAAGATTGTGACTGAAGGTAGTAGGCTAAAGTGCTTTGACACCTTTGAAACTATTTTAAATTGAATTTGTGAAAAAAAAAATCGAATTTAAGTTCATAGAAGCCAATTATCCAGTAAAAGAATTATAGCCGTAATTTATTTTATGGTAAAATACTAGATGAAAAAATGTTCAACAAAATAGTATCGCATATGGCACACCTATGATGAATATATGGCGAACACTTATAACTGTTCCTGGGTAAAAATATTCCAGAATGGAGATGGTGCATGACAGCCCCCTTCAAAGAAATTTTACGATTACACTAACTCCAGGCTGTTTCATCTTTGCCCTTAGAAATTCATGACCCAGGAAAATGTGTTCCCCCAAAACTTTTGACAGCACAGCTTGCACCATACAACCCTCTTCTGGGGACTCTTGGAAAGGAGAACATAAAATCCACAATTATTCAAAACAAAGTTTATTTCTTGTAGTTCATACAACTTACAAAAAAAAAAAAAAAAAAAATGGAAATATTGCATGAACCATCCACAATAGTGATAAGAGAGGGTGAATTGTAATATGTAAGATGCTAAAGCGGTGTAACGAACTACAGTAATATCTGAAATAAAGAAGATTGGTGTTTTCTTCACGAATGAATGCATATTTTACTTAAAATAGACCAGAATTGATACACTTCACAAACGAGAACATTACCTAGTACTTGTAATAAAGGAAGATTTTGGACAGGATAGATACCAGAATAACCATCTAGTAACATTAACTCTTTTTTTGGACTGAGTTAATATCAAAAATGATAAAAAAGTATAAATAAATATTTTTGCTGCCCCATGAATACTTTCATTTTAGTATATTTGCAAAAGATAATGGTTTAAAATCACCACAGTGTTTATAAGTTAAACCATTAACTTGAATGCATTACTATTTTAAAACAAAACATATCAGGAGTAAAATTATTTTTTTTTTTTTTTTTTTTAGAAAATAAAAATTTATGAAGATGACCACCGAAAACACGAACAAGCTTAAATTATATCCCTTTACTTCAGTTTATCATAATGTCTTAATTTGTAAGTAATGTTTAAAATAAAAAACATATTTAAAACAGCAATACAATTTGATTTGGCAGTTAATAAACATTATCAATAAATGTATAAACAAGCATCCAGGTACAGATAATTATTTTAAAAAAAAATCAAATTATAATATTCAGTAAAAATTATATTTTCCTGAAAACAAACATAAAAACAGACCAGCGTAAGGCTTCGACTAATATTTGAAGAATATCCGAGAATTAGTAGTGACTAACAAGCCACATTCTTTCTTTCTACTACGATAAACAGATTCTGTTACGTGGTATAATAAAAGTAACTTTGGACTTCTTAGTTGAAGCCTTGTTCTGGTCTGTTTTCAGGAAAATTTAAATATTAGTAAATATTCATTTTAATAATTTAATGAATATAGTTAAATTTATGGAAATTGAACATTAGTCTTCAATTTTTAACAATGAAGCCATTGTCATCCACATTTATATTTTGCCCTATAGTTTACTACAAAACTATCTATACATAGAAAAAATATGTATTTTCAGAGAAAATTGAAATTAGAAAAAAAGTTTTCTTAAATTAACCTATTCAACGTTGTATATCAAAGAATGATTAGGAAAGATTCTACAACCATTTTCTTAATGTTGTTATACAATTTATTTGCCAGTTCTTCATAGCTCTTTAATTTAAAAATAAGTTGACATCTCAAAAAAATTTCATATTTTTCATGTCTCTACTATGAATAGTACAACTGTGCCATGTTTCAAGAAAATCAGAGGATTTTCACAAGGTTCAGACATTGTGTTGGATTCACATGGAATGACCCTATTGTGATAACAGCCATTACAATCAGGAGGTTATTGATACCTAAGAACTGGGGAACATATCTTGTATTTATCTTAAAAAACTAAAAACATCAAGAGTAAAATCTTTTTGAACTCTCTATATGAGTCTTCCAAAACATATGATTTATTTTTAAATGTCAAACACACTTTTCCAAAGAGATATGGAAGTTTTAAAACCTATATGCAATAATGGACTGTGACATTTATTACTCTTATTAATTGCATGTAGGACAAACAAATGATTACTTTACATTGTGTTTACAGTCATTATAAACTGGCATTAAAGATGAGCTAAAGGGATTTTAGATAAGTTTGTTTAGTAGAGGGGTATGAATTTATAAAACAGTGGGACAATGAATGTATCCTTTTATTTTATTTTTTTAAATGGCCTAATTAAGTAAAACATGTGATGAGAAATTATCAACAAAACATAACATTAATCATACAAATTAGCTACATATAAATTATACATAATGAATTCAATAATAAATAACTGTAATAATGAATTCTGAGTTGCTACATTGTTCTATTAACAGAATGAAAATAATATACATTCAACCAATACCACAAAAGAAATCTAAGTTAAACAAAAAACAATGAAACGGAAAACAGGATGTCCTGAGAACAGAACGTAATGTTCGAAACAAACAGGTTGTACAACATAAAAGAAAACTAAAATTTTGCTATAGACTTCTTAAAAATAAGTAAGTTAACAAGCATAAGGTTATATAAATATTTGAAACGATGACATAGGGCTTGAAATTAAATTGAATTTTAAAAACCACCAACCTACAAAAACTTTTAACTCAGTTTTATCTAGTTTCAATTTAAACTAATGTCAAAACAGTATGACCACAAGAAAGAAGCAAAACAATAATATTTACAGTGGAAAAAACTAATTTGGTATTTGTCAAACATTCACCATTGAGGTGTCAACTAAATATACAATTTACAATGGTAACATAAAAACTGATATTTTATGGCACCAGTATGTATTAGAATCTTTGATGATAGATTGAGCTTTTAATCGACGCTATGTAATACATATTATTAACTAAAATAAAAAATAATTAAAAGCAAAAGTGTTTATAGAAACTTTGAATAGCTTATTGTACGTAAAACCCGTAGCATTTTCTTATATTTATTGATATTAATTTAGAAAGTAGCAATCGTAATGTAATACAAATTGAAAACAAATGTGACTTAATACTCGATTATGATTTCAATGATGATTTATCTAAACTAATACTATTTACAGTTACAATCATCATATCAAACTACCTTATCACCAAGTCTTCAAAACAGTAATAAATAAAATTGGATACTACTTCCTAGTTTTTAATAGAATGGCTCATTATAAAGTGAAAACGGGCATTATTATTCCACATTGCAGTTTATAAGATATACATTTTTGATTTAAGATAACTAAATAATATTATTTATTTAAGCAATAAATAAACTGAAGCCTTCTATAAACAGATAAAATGAGAAGTTCAAAATACTTTAAATACATTTAATAAAATACTATTTTCAATATTAAACAACAATCTTGAGGAATGAAAGAAACTAAATAATGTTTATAAACAAGAAAAATAAACTTCATTATGTACATATTAAACACAAACATTGAACTTAAAAATCCTAAAATACGCAACGATAATAATTTAAATGAATGAAGCCAATTATTTAGCTTTTTTTAAAAGAAACTTACATGGTTTAAGTTTGATAATTCAAATAATCGTAGCACAATCTATTCCCACCTTTTTAATACTATTTAATGTTTACAGAGGTAACCTTAATGCTAACTAAATCGAAAATTTGGGCCCAAATAACCTGCATCTCTACAGTTCGTGATAATTCTAAAAAATTTAAGTACTTTTTAAAAACCTATTATTCTACTAAATTTTATCTTTGAATCAAGATATATACAAAATAAAACAAAATATGTCATGTGACCCCAAAGCATATTTACAAATAGTTGACTAATAGTACTGGAGAGTACTCTTCATATCACTCGCCTTTGTGAAGTGTATACTTCACAGATACCTTCTACGATGTTAATTTACAATAGTATTAATAACAAATTTGTTTAGAAGTGATGTCGTGGCCATCTGATTTGAAAATGTGTATTCGGCTAATTAGTTTGTAGAGTTATGAAACTTTTTTTTAAAAATAAATAATATGAATAAAATTTATAATTTTTTTTACTGATTAATTGAAGATATTAATGATGGGAACTATAGCAAAGGAAGAGGAAGAACTTATGAAGGACTCAAAGTACAAATTGTAAGTAAAGTTTTGTGTTATGATGACATTAATAAATTTTTGTATTTTAATCCCTGATAACTTTTGGTTTTCTTATTCTAAGTATTATTAGTTGATATTCTCACTCACTTTGTCTCATTTTCAATTAGTTGCTTTTAGTGGGTGATATCTTTTTCAGCAGAAGTGTTGTTTCCTTATAATCCTTCAGTTACCATGAGAGAATCTTCAATTACTCTATTTAAACCTTATCTGTTCTTGTTGAGGAAATTAAAACATTTACACAGTATTAACATTTATTTTTATTTATGATATACTTATTGAATAGAATTTGTGTAATAGTCAAAGTTGTTAGTTTTTATAATAATGTGAATTATTTCTTAAACTTATCTTATCGTTCATCTTATGAACTTAACATATATTAAAAATTTACTTTTTTATTTACTAGGTATGTCAGTCAGATTGACAAGTCCTTAAGAAATTTTGAGTACAGCAATGAATGGGCTGATTTAATAGCTGCTCTAGGAAAGTTAAACAAGGTATGTATGTTGAATTATTATTATAGATATTTAGCAATAAAATGGTGCCGAAAAACATGTCGGTTTAATATATTAATGGTATGGAACCGTGAATCTGTTTTGTGAGGTTCGTTAATAGCTAAATCTGAATAACCGGTAAAGGACAGACAATGTTATCAGTTGTCAACTACAATAAGTTTAGCTCTTTTATTTAGCTGTTTGTAACAATTCTTTTAAACCTTGAATTCTTTTAAGGACAATGTTTAAACATTGTTTGCTATGTGGTAATATGAAAATTATTCTTTTTCTATTTAATCTTCAGGGAATTTCCTTTATCCTCCTCTATATCAACTTGAATTGATATGGACTGATATCCAGTAATTTTATCAATAACCTAAGAGAATGAAGTCGTTTTCATTATAGTTTTAACTTCATTGTTAGTTTTTATGAAGTTAATGCTTTGATAATAGACTCTATAGTAATTTAGTCCGATTTCATAAAACTGGATAGTTACTGTTTATTTATAAACATTTCAATAACCTTATATTAATTTTCTATTTTATTTTATTTCTCATTTAATTTTATTTTTTCTTGATCTTATTTATTTCTAATTTGGTTTCGTAAACTAGTTAAGTCATTATAGAATGTATTTATGATACAGACATTATAAATAATGTCTGTATACAAATAACCAGTCTTGATTAACACTACTTCCTTAATTGTCATTTTCCCTCTTCAGTTTGAAAGCATATTATCTAATGGATTATATGAGTTATTGTAAAAATCTTTGGTTTGGTCATACCCTTGTTTTCCTATCAAGATTTTTAGTTCTAATAGCTGATATAGGCTATAGGCCCTTGTCAATGTCATTGCAGTTGTAAAGTGCTAAATACTCATAAAACAAAAGAAAAAATATATTTTTACATCCATAAATTATTTGTTATGATAAATAATGGGTATATGATTGCTTCTTTTTAAAGTCAGTGTGTGTTTTTGATAAAGCTATTACACATTTCATATAAGTGAATTTCAATCATATTTAACAATGCAAAAACTTATTACGTGCAAAAAAATAATGCCAAACTTATATCTTAAAAGTAGATACAATGGATAAACATTATTTTGATTTCACAGAGGAAAAATTCATTAAAGTATTTCTTGATTTAATTTACTAAAATGTTAATTAATATCTTTTTTTTAGGAATCCGCCAATATATATCCTTGTATAAGAATAAATTATTGTGAATAACAATCACATCATTTTCATACATTTATGTATCCTTACTACACATTTTTTTTTGCTTTGAGATTATTTATAATGCATATTCATTTTCTGTACATTGTTTTATTGACGAAAGTTTTACTTAATACAGTCTGTTAGCCACTTATTTTTGCGATTATATTTTATTTTAAAAATATAAATTTTAAATGCTACTTACTCACTACACTATTTTTATATTTTAGAATCTATTGTTATTTTTGTTGCTTAGGTTATTAACAACTATGCAAAATATCCAGTTATTCCTAGACGTATCAAAATCAGCAAAAGGCTTGCTCAGTGCATGCATCCTGCTCTTCCATTTGGTGTTCATTTGAAAGCATTAGAAACTTATGACCTCATATTCAAGTCTATGGGCACGAACAGGCTTAGCCATGAACTATTCATTTATAGTGCAGGTGTGTAAAGTATTATTTTATTATTTCATCTATATTTAAGCAAGATGTAGGATTCAATAAATCAGTAATTCTGTAATTCATATGGTAAATAACTAAGATGATGGATTGATAAACATACTGATTTGTATTTCCAATAACCTCTTGCTAATCCAAACTAATTAAACATGAAATGAAAAAAAAAAATCAGATTGTTGAACAGGAAACAATACAAGTTAACTTTATAAGGAGAGAGAATCACTTTATTTTCATAAAAGGGTGCTGCCCAATTATAGTGAGCTGCTACAAACAGCATACTTGTTAATCTTTATAGACAATTTTAAAACTAATATAAATAATTTATTGGTCAATTTGAGAACTAAATAACGGAGCCTAGGGTGGCTGAATGAGTTGAAATAATACCTTATCATTATTGAATTGGTAACATTCATGAGGATAAGTATTTTATGGATATATTGCGAATATTTTGTAATTATACTAAAATATATATTTTAAATGTTTTTCAATTTTAGTAAAATAAAAGTAATTTTCGATTAAGATCATATTTTCTTTCATATATTACAATTTATTAAAGAAAACATTATTTTACAAAAATTAGAAATATCATAATGTCTTTTATTATTAAAAGATTCACAACGCGGTGTTTCAGAGATTTTCTATATCATCAGAGTTCCATTCTCTAATAACTATTGCACATTGTTTGTGATTTTTCCTGAACAAAAATCCATATAAAAATATTTAATCATAATAAATAAATAAAATACAAATTTTTGTTTTACAAAACTGTTCCATTTTAAGAAAATCACATTGTCTAAATATCTCAGTTACATTGTGTAACTGAAATATTTAGCCAATGTGATTACCCAGAATAGAACACTGTATTATAAAAAAAAAAAAAAAAATGTGTTTCATTTAATTATTATAACTAAATAATTTTATATGGATTGTAGTTTTGGGCAAAATCATAAACAATGTGGAATAATTATGAAAGAATGAAAACGTAATGTTGAAGATTTCTAAAATGTCAGTTTGTGAATGTTTTATCAATAAAAAGACTTTATGATGGATGTAATTTTTTAGTTCATATATTTAGATGTCTGATAATATTCAAATATATTTTCAAATTGTTGGGAGGAATATATAATATGAATAATTATAATGAAAAAAATGAAAATGTCTTTTTGGCCAGAAAATTTCAACTTTAAAAAGAAAACTAATAATAAATAAAAGACGGGGTGGATTGATGTAATATTTTTGGAATAACCGAGAATAATAATTATTTAGTTCGTTTTTTATAAATGTACTTATGAGCTAACAAATAAATTTAAATTTCAAATTAAAAGTACTTCCATGATGTCTTCATCGTTGTTTTATTTCTTCTGGATCCTAGAATTCAAACGTGTGAAATTTGTGACTTTTTTTGAGATCTTTCCTTGACTGACTTGCACATCAAACTCAATTCGCTTGACCAGAGCTGTTTCACGATTTTGTCTCCTCTTAATCATGCCCTGTTTAAAAAACATCACTCAACGTTGGTTGTCACTAAACTGCCTCGCTTACTAATTTTCAAATAGTTAAAATGGTATTGGATTGGATTTTTTAGTTTTAAATTTAAATTATTTTAATGTTTGAAATCCAATTTAATTTTAAATTTATTTTTCAATGAACATTTCTGTCATATACTACAGGTATAATATTATATTTTATTATTCTCAGTTATATTTTCAAAATGAAATTATCTTTTTTTTTTTTTACATGAAATAGTTTACAACGAATTAAGAATTCTTACATTACTACAATGTACAAACAATTACATCAGCCTGCTGCAGAACCATTCAAGTCTATTTTTTGTCTTTATTTTGATTTATGAATATCAATATTCCTTAATTTTTTTTGTTAAAAAAAAAATTAAAAAATCATAAGTATTGCTATTACAATATGAATAATAATTGTTCATAGGGTTATTTCCTTTGTTCGGGCGAGCGGCGATGAAAGTAAGACCTGATTTACTAAAAGTTTATGAAACCCACTTTGTCCCACTTCGTGCAAGATTAAGACCAGCATTACCAGGGTTTTTGAGTGGTGTTCTTCCTGGACTGGAAGAATCGTCTGAGTATTTTACGAGGTAATAGCTAATTACATTATACGTTCTTATATATTTTTTTTTTTTATTAAAATTTTTTTCCCTATAGATTCCGTTATTTAAAGTTAATGAAACATAATAGTTAATTTTTTACTTTATCTGAATTCAGGACAAATACCCTCTTGGAGAATGTTTGTGAAGGAGTAGGACCTAGCCATTTTTATGGATGCATCTGGGATTGCTTAGCTTCAAATTCTTGTGTCAGGCTTCCAGCTATATCTTATATACTTGCACATTTTGATAAGAAACTACCCACGGAAGATCAGGCGCATATTATGGGAAATAACATAGATGTTATGGTAAATTAATTTTTTCTATAATGATATTAACTTACAGAATTCATAATATATTTTTTAAACAGTAATCAATTATACTTTCTTACTTGCTTCACATTTTTATAATATTATGTGTTCTTAATTCACTGTTTAAGTAAACTAATATTTATAAAATTTATACAATAATAATTTTTAATGGACAAAATAATACAGGCAGGTTAGTTGGATATACAATCTTAAAAAAAATAATTAAATTTTTATGTTATACAGGTTTGTGGATTAATTGCATGTATTGAGGATTCTAGTATTTTAGTACAGAGATGTGCTTTGGACCTGCTGATAATAGGATTTCCGATGCATAGCTGCCATATGACCAATGATGACATGATACGTCTAGTTACTGCAGCTCTAGTTACGATTCTTAGGAGAGACATGTCTCTAAACAGGTAGAGTTTTTCAGTATTTAATTATGAATTAGTTATTGTAATTTATATTTATATATCCATGATATAAGTACTTAAATTATTTATTTTTCAGGCGATTATATGGGTGGTTATTGGGTACCGAGGTAAATATGACTTTACTTTCCCACCATCCTCAGATGAGAAAAGCCAAAGCTGAAAAAAGAAATGCCAATTACTTTGATGTGTTTTCTAAAGAAATGCTAGTAAAGGTAATATTTTTATTCTATCACCTATTACCTATATATTTTTATTCAATTCATCGTCTGGTAATGAATATTAGATTATCACTATTGCCATAGTTAATACTCGTTTATAATTAAATGAAATTGCAATTAATTATCTTGTTATATCATGAATCAATGGTGGATTTTGAATCTAAAAATCTGGTGCAGAAATAAATATTTTCAGACAAAGGAGAAGTGAAAGTAAAAATTATGGATGCTATATTTATTTAAATTTAATTTTGGGCATTTTTATTTGTTTAATTACCCTTATGTATAAAAATTTTAATTTTTATATTGTTGTAATCTATACAATTAAAAATTAATTAATACCAATGATAGCATTTATGAAAACCGCATATGGAAGCCAAATCTTTTGAGTGAGCTCGGGTGTGCTCGTATTCCTTTGGTTCCTCTATTACAACTATTATCCGTTATGATTTCTTATTTCTCCTTTAGTTAATTATCAAATTCTTTCATTTTTTATATTTAACTATTTTTTATATTAAAGATTAATGTGATATGGTTAATTATTTCAAATAAAAAAAAAATTAAAGGTACTTCAGAGGAAGCTAATATCTAAAATTTGCCATTTAAGCCCTGTTAGAGAACATCAATTAGAATAAAACCTATACTGTATTAAAAATTGCTTAATAATACACTGATGTATTGAGTTTAATCAAAATCATTAGTGCCGTTTTTGAGAAAATCGTAAAAATGTGTTAAATCAATGATGATGAAAGTACCACTTCCAGTTTGCCGATTTTGACGACAATGTTGCTATAATATCCCAGGCTTATTAAAACCTCCAATATGCAATTTAAATTTTGTACGATATAATTAACATTAATTTCTGCTTTAAACTATATCTTTTAACATTTTGGTTCAGAATATGCAAATATGTGCATGTATTTAACTGTTTCTTATTGTACTACTGGTAAATCCTGTCCACCGAAACAAAGAAAGAGAGAGCAGAAATGGGGGTACAGATATCAATATCTTCTCGCCAATACTTTTAGTTTTGTTCTATAACTCCCGAGGATGCCTGCCAACAAAGGTGATCATCCATCTCTTTCTTGTGATGCCATTTTACAAAACAAAAGAAATTGTTGTTAAATTTTTTTATTTTTATAGTATATATTGAAAACTTAATTGTTTCCATGCAAACTTAATAAAATTTTTTTGAAACTAAAAGGATAATTTTTAAATTTATTTTGATCTTGGCAAACCAAAAAAAATATATTGCGCAGAATTGTCATACTACAATCTATATATTTTTATAATATATATTGAAAACTAAATGTTTCCATGCAAACTTAATGAATTTTTTTTTAAACTAAATGGATAATTTCTAAATTTATTTTGATCTTGGCTAACCAAAAAAAATATATTGCGCAGAATTGTCATACTGCAATCGTTTGAAAAACTATTTTATTGTACTTTCATGATTGGAGATGTGAAGGAGTGTAAGCTTTTTAAAGAACTATTTACACGTAGCAAAAACCTATGGTTGTAACTTAAGATTCAAAGATTCAACAACAGGTTTAAATAATCAATTATTGTAGCTTTACTACTGAAATTAATTTTGAGTAAGAAGATAGTCTGGGTTGGCAGTCATAAAAAGACTAAAATAATAAAAAAAAACGATTTTATTTAAAGCCAACGTTTCAACCCGACTTTGCAGGTCTTCAGGGGATTGTATGCTGTAGGGAGTTTCAGTTCTTCAACTTCACGATTTGTAAAGCTCTATGGCCTTTCACAAGGAGTTTAGAAAATCTTATTTTCCGATAGTAATATGTTAATTTTTTTATTTATCGCACATTATTTTTGTTACAGGCCATCAAAATAATTTTGGATTATGCTATTGGAAAATCACCCCATGATTTAAAGCCATATAAACTGTTAGTGTCTCTAATTGACAAAGATGACATTGGTCCTGTGATTATAGATGATATCCTGTTTGAAGTTTTCAGGTATTTATTAATTTACTATTATCCCCACATATATTATTACAGTAAGGCTCGAAATCTGTTTTGTACCAAAGATAAGCTCCTGTCATGCTCAAATACCATGAATGGGGTACCGTTGGATTCAGAATTTCATGGGGGTTTAGCGAATCATACTCTCCGCTTTTGTTTTTCTTTCTAAAATAAATAAAGTCAATAAAAACATTTTGCTAGGCTTCGATACCGGAACGGTGGTAAGTCTGTAGATTGATACGGGACAGTACTTGGGCTTTGATGATTTTGAGCAAGACCCGGATAGTTCCTGCGTTCTTAAGCCCAAAAACGTACTATTTTCGAGATAATGCTAGGCAAAGAGTTCGCATCTACACAACCTTATGTAATTGTAGTACTGTCATTGAATAAATGTCTCATTTTGTTGACTTGAGGCCCCTATGATCAAGAGAGGAGTTGTTTATATTATTTATCGAAGGTGTTTTTGTTGGTAAGCCACATCATTATTAATTCTTCACCAAATCCCTAGATTGAGCCACCAATTTGGAAGGTTTCCTTCTCTTTCAGCCGCACTGATATATTAACTTTATTATTTCTTAAAGTCATTTGTTTGTTCTTTCATTTCATTTTTTTTTAATAATTGAGAAAATCCCATGATCGAGGCTTTATTTTGTCTTAATTACCTTTATTATCTTTCCACTAAGCGTTTAAAAATAGGTCCTAGCAAAGGAATTCGTACAAATACTTTGGTCTATTATGTTAAATGGAATATTATAATCGACAATGGAAAAAATATTGATTCCTTCCTTACATAATACATAGGATCTAGTTATTTCCATATTGTTTTGCTATTCCTTCACTAAACGAAATTTTCTGCGATTTATTTGCATGAACCAACTAGTTTTGATAAATAAGTTTTATTCTATTTTGAGAATATTTTCATATATATGTGGAATTTGACAAAAGACGTTTTTAAAAAAAAAAGTTAAGTAATTTCATCGAGAAGTGACAAATTCTAATTTCGATGCTTAAATTTATCATAGAACTCTGTAATAGAAGAAAAGTTATTGAAAAAAAAAGGTTAATATATAAATTAGAATTCGCCACTTCTCCGTGAAATTACTTAATTTTTTTTAAAATTTAATACAGAAGTAATTGTCTATTTATAAATTTACTATTATTAATTTTCCATTAAATTAATATGATATCAAAACTCAATCTTTTATTTTAAAATTTATTTTATTCAAGTTTATTTTGACAATAGTTGGTGCAATTTTGATATTTAAATAATTCATTATAATTAATTTAATTAATCGATAGAATTAAAAAACAAAACAATATGTCTGAAGAATAAATTTTATATGTTAATAAATATAAAATACTCTAAAAATAAATGGTAGAATTTTTGAGTATTTATTACCATGTAAATCCAGATATGTTAATTCCGATTAATGGACAGTTTAATTATCAAGCATTTTTCTTGTAGGAAACATGAATGAACTTTTATTTATTTTTATTCTCTCCTTATTGTTTTCATAGGTGTTAAAACACATGTTATAATATATATTTACAATATAAATAAATGTCTAGCTATTTTGGTTAGCTTCTATGGAAATAATGATTTTTAAATTTATATTTGCTATAATTGAGCAGCCAGTTCTAATTTAGTTAGTGGAATTATGCTGGTGGTTTCTTTTATATGATTTAATTATTTTTATGAAAGCATGTAATTTTATTTTTATCTTTAAAATCAATCAGGAATGCCCTACTTTCTCAGACTATTATGGATCCATGCTCTAATTTCTTTGGTCAATTTTCTTATGATTAAAGAAGATATGTCATGGGTCAAGGTTGTCTGCCTTTGAATCTTTCATTATTGCTTTCTATTTATCAAAGAAAACTACAAAAATAAATTATTAGGAAAATTAAAAAATTAACATCTATATCATAAAAAGATTGTTTGTTTATAAACGTATATATATATATATATATATATATATATATATATATATATATATATATATATATATATATATAATATATATATATATATATATATATATATATATATATATATATACGTTTATAAACAAACAATCTTTTTATGATATAGATGTTAATTTTTTAATTTTCCTAATAATTTATTTTTGTAGTTTTCTTTGATAAATAGAAAGCAATAATGAAAGATTCAAAGGCAGACAACCTTGACCCATGACATATCTTCTTTAAAAAAATATCTTCTTAAAAAATATATATATATATATATATATATATATATATGTAGGTGTCTAATCATCATGACAACTTCATACCTGTGACAATAACTTTACTATATGAACTATCAAATAAGTATGGTATTATTGTGCCAAAATTTGTTTTGTTTTTTAAATAGGCAGTGAAATTAATAATAATAATATATATATATATATATATATATATATTTATATATATATATATATATATATATATATATATATATATATATTTTTTTTTTTTTTTTTTTTTCCCTACGTGGTAACCCCACACAAGGATCGTTTAGTTGATTTTCCTTCATGCTCCATGCCTTAAAGACATACTACATGAATTACATTTGTTTACAATTGTTTTGTTTTCTAGTTTCACATGATTTACATTTTTAGTTCAAATTTATATACATTAACAAACAAAAATACAAAGAATAAACACACAAAAATTAAATCGGAAAATTAAATATTAAACACACAAAGTCAATCCAACAAAGCCAAAAAGAAATCACCCACGCTGCCCATCCCTGGTTAGTAAGTCGAAGTCGATCGATCTAATAAATCTAAGAAAGTCTGTCTTGAATTCAGTAAATAACTTTTGTTCCATCTCAGGCCAATTATATATTTATATATATATATATATATATATATATATATATATATATATATATATATATATATATATATATATTATTATATAAATATTATATTTTTATGTATATAATATTCTGAAATTATCATTATTTTTGGGAGGAGGGAGGAGGAGGGATAAATAAGTCTATATTACATTATAATTACTATGACCAAGGAAGACCGAGATCTATTTTGTGTTGAATCCAAATCATAGTCAAGGATATAAATGTGTGTATTTAAGTGAAATGTGCTGCTATTTTTACAAATTTATTGCTGTTTTAACCTTGTTCCTTGAAAATATCTCCAAAAAATTAGGCTGTGTTATGAGTTATTTTGTATTGGGTCGACAAATAATAAATTAATCCCTAAGGTGGATTGTTTATCCTGTTTGTAATATGTCAACAACTATATCGGTTAACTCTTGTAGAATTTTTTTTTTTTTTTGTACGTCGTTGGCTACCGATGTCAGAGAAACAAATTGGGCTCTCTATTTGCAATGAGAGAGAAATATGTTTTCTCATATACTGCTGTAGCTCAAAAACTGCGCTAATGATTTTGATGAAACTTTCTTATAATTTTCTACTTGAAGCCTTTTCAATTTTTCTACATGTAGTGAATACCCAAATAAATTCAGAAAAAAAAGTTATAAAAAACAAAACAAAAATGTTTGAGTTTTAACTCGCAAAGTATACATTCTATGGTAAAATTTATATAGAATCTTTTGAAAAGTAATTAATTTACCTACAAAGTCTGAATCGAATCAGTATTAGCGATGATACAGTATATCCTATTTTCTACACTTGTTTATTATATTACTTTTCTACCACGCTAGGTAAGAAAAGTATTGAAATTGGGTCAAATTTACCATGTGCGGTTTTCAATGGATTCCCCTGAGTCCGAAAAACACCCATTTTTTGAAAGCCTATTAATGTTCCGTCAAAACTAAAAAAAAAAAAAATCGTTTCAATTGGACCAGCTTTAGCTTTAGCAGAGTTACAGTGTATTGAATTTGATTTGATTTTTAGCTGATTTTTAATATGGTTCACATGCCAGTTTACATTGCTTTAGTTCATCAAAGAAATCGTACCTTATCATTTCTCTGATTGGTTTTCAGGAAAAACTCTTGTTTTTTTTTGTTTGTTTTTTAATGTACATTTTTAAAGTTGTATAATTTTTTTCTAAAATTAGTAGGAAAGTCTTGTGGGAGGACACACCTAATCAGTAGTAACCTTCGCTTTTATAAAATGTTCATGAAATTTAAAAAAACACCAAAAAAAAAATTGTGTATTTTATAAGTCAATTTTAACTTCTTTTTTTTTAAAGCTTTATTTTTATTATAATATATGTATATTAGATAAGCTATAAATATTTATTTAAAAATAAGTTCATCTTAAATCCATTTTAGAATAAGTGTTTGTAATAAATAACAATATAGATTTTTTTTAATTTTCAGGTTACTGTACCTTTGTTATAACATGGATTCTAAACCGAACACTAGCGATCTCCTTAAAAATGCTAATTTGCTGTTCGGAGCTTTAGTCCCTAGATATTTATGGGAATATGTCGGACAACTTTTTTCTGTTGCATGTTCTCAGTATCATGGAACAAGTTTGTCTGACAAAGAAGAAAATCCTGTTAAAAGAGTAGGAAGTGGAAGTCCAAACATTGTAGAGGTATTGGATACTTTAATTATCTCTATAGATTATTTTGGAGTTAAGTATTGAATAAAATTGTTTAAAATGCATTAGGAAATACTACTATGAACTGCAAGTTTGAATTTAGAAAATATTGAGGAGATCTATCGAGAAAGCACCTATGTATAAAATTTAATTCATGTGACAATATTAAAAATCATCTTTCTTTTTTTTTATTGTGTGTGTGCATTATTAAAACGCCTTGTTTTATACATAATATAATAATAATTTCCTGATGAAGAATGTCTTTGAACGAGTCCTTTTATTTTAAAACTTTTTTTTTTATTCTTGTTATTTTAAACCTAAGTATTTTTTACTTAGAACTCCTTAACATTTGTCAAACTTGATTTATAAAGGAATATAACGACACTGTTAGTTTTTTTTTTTTTAATAATTGACCTAAAAATTAATCTTAACAAGTGCGGCATTACTCCTTTTACTATAAAAAGAAAGATTAACTTCTAAGATTTTGAGATTTCAAATGAAAAATACACAGTTATAAGTGAAGAACACTTAAAGTTTTTAGGCATAACCTTAGAGACTAAATTAAATTTCAAAACACATATTAAAAATATTCATACACAGTCGCTGCAAAACTTGAATTTAAAATCTTTAGCTGGAGTATCATGGGGTTCTCACACACAAAACATGCTCACTCCCTACAAAACAATAGTAAGATCTAATTTTGATTATTGCTGTGTCGTACACAATCAAACTAAGTCCCCCCCTCATTAATAAGTTGAATACAACACAAAACTGTGCCACAAGTTTATGTTTGGGTGCTTTTAAAACTTCTCTAGTAAACAAGCTTCAGGCCTCAGCCGGAGAGATGCCATTACACATCAGAAGTTCATGGATAACGAAAAAATACATTCTCAAAGTCTATTCCGACAATAATCATCCTGTAGGTAAAGAAATTAGAAGTGGAAACGTGTTTTGATTCTGTTCCCAACTATCCGTCATTATTAATGAATTACAGCCTCTTATGAAATCTCTACACATTTCTGAAGCTCCTCTGGAATACACAATCCTAGAGATACTGTTAGTGCAAAAAGTCACATGTTAAAATTTACTGTTTTTATTCTATTTGTGATTAATGTGACATTTTGAGGTCTGTTAATGCTATAACTAGTCTGCTACTATGGATGAAAATTAAGTATGAAATTATACCATTAAATAATAAAGAAATGATCAGTTTTTAATGCTCTCCTGTAAAACTCAATTTGACGTCCGACCTTATGCATTAACAGTATTGATGATAAGCAGTGTCTTTGGAAGGTGCTGGTGGAACGAAATAAAAATTATTAGTTATATTTCCAGACACATTGACATTTTATTAAGGTTACAGGTTTCAGTGGAAGGAAGTAAAAATATATATTTCCTTACATGTTGTGATTCTTTTAAGAAAAGATTAAATCGGTAAAATATTTGAAGAAACTTTTTCTAGTAAAACGTTTTATTTAATTTGGACCTGTTAAGTTCATTGTTGTTCAATGATTTATATTTACTAATCCTTCATTTCTTATTAATATTAAGAATTACATGAAATAGTTATATTAAACAATTTTTACAGGTTTGTGCATTAGCAGAGTTTCTTCTGGATATTGTTTCTCTTGAAACTTATACTGAAACTTCAAGTGAGCATTTGCCATCTCTCTTCCACCATTTGGTTTTACAATTAACTGAACACTGTGACAGCCTGTCTGCTAAACAGGTCGCTCGCGGTTTGAAATTATGTGCGAAAATCCTTACCCGAGTTCAGCCAGCTATAGTTGGAAGTCATACAACAGGCAATGTTCCTTTAGATGAAGAATTGGATAGCCCACAAACTACTGCGGATAGTACGAGTCTTGACGAAGAAGTTTCTTCAGAAGTAAACCATGAGAAATCTGATTCAGTTTTCGAACAGTGTCTGAGGCAATATGAACGTTTTTATGTTACTTTTATCTATGGAACGAGGCTCAAGGTTGGCGAAACGAGAAGCATTTCACTCATACTAGAATCTCTCCGCGTCAAGTCTTTTCATTCCAATTGGGAAGAAGATGTCAAACAAATAGATCTTATTCTTTCTTTAGAAGGCGTTAACAATAACGACCAAATTATTAGTTCTGTAACTAACGAGCAGCCTCGAACTAAAACTCCTGGCGAGGAATGGGTCGAACCTATGAAAGTAGCATCCAGGCTTCTTGTAGATCTTTCGACGCTACAGACATTTTTTAAATCTCCTCATTCAAAAAAAATGTTTGAGACCAACGTTTCAGGTATGTTATAGAACCATACAGTTATTTCATTAGAGAGTAATTATATTATTATGCCAAGGTTTAAACTTAGTTTCCTCTATTACCTACTGAAGTTGTAGAAGTTTAAACTTAGTTTCCTCTATTACTTACTGAAGTCATAGAGGTTTAAACTTAGTTTCCTCTATTACCTACTGAAGTCATAGAGGTTTAAACTTAGTTTCCTCTATTACCTACTGAAGTCGTAGAGGTTTAAACTTAGTTTCCTCTATTACATACTGAAGTCATAGAGGTAGTAGTCTGTTGAAGAATTATTTACTAATCAAAATAACTAATTAGGAAGGAGTAGATTTTTTGATCGAACAATCATCTTGAAATGAGTTTTGATGTTTCTTAATCTTTTAACTACTGTAGACTCATATGAGTTGAGATGAATTCTGGCCTAGGTGGCAGTGGATTCATATTTGAGTCAAGATGAAATTGGGCCCAGGTTACGATGGGCTTATTATACCTGAGTCCAGAGCTTGTCAGGCACTTTCTTTTTAAATGACGGGATGTTCAGTGATGAATTCTATTTAAGAGAGAAACATAAAACAGTTTCAGATTTATTTTTTGTCTTATTCAATACTATAAATTGTCAATTTTATTAAAAGTAAAGGTTTAAAAGTTCATAATTTATAAAAAATTAAATTAAAAAAATACACACACACATATATATATATATATATATATATATATATATATTAAGGCCATGTTGTAAAAATACATTACAATTGTATAAAAGTTAATAAAAAAAAATTAAAATAGATGAGTTCGGAACGATGCTCTAAATAAAAAGTCACAGGGGTGCAGACAGCTGTCAGCTAATGCTGTTCTCAAGACTGCTCAATCCTTCCCACTCATCGTCACAAAAAGGTTTAAAAAAACCCAATAGGCAATTATGTTGCAAAAAGAGATAATATAAAATTTAAAGAAAGAACCAAAAAATATTTTCCTTTATCCAACAAACTTAAAACTTTTTGGAAATTTATTTTAACATAGGGAAACTTACATAAATCTTTATAATTTATCATATAACTTTTTTCTATATCTTGATATTAGTAAATGATATTGATATGCAGGGGAATGAGGTCTAGCTAGTGGCTAGTGGGTAGGGTGCAATACTGATCCATTTTGGTTTAAATTCTGCGTCTTGACATAAAATAAATTGACTGATACATGGTGTCTGCAAAGTATAGTCAATGTTAAACAATAGAGGTAGGATGTAGTACCGAGTTTTGGAGATGACAAGCATTAGTAAATATACAAAAAAAGGAGTTTAAGAATATTATTATTTTTTGTATTTGGTGTACCAAAAATGAATGTTTAATGAAATTATAATATAGAAATATATTTTCGTAGATGAAAATTTTTGATGAGAATGAGCTAATCAGCTCGAAATATCGTTTGAAGTGGAATAAATCTCTAAAGTATTAAGTATAAATCTATAAAGTAAGGTCTTATGTATTTCTTGAAGACACCATATCAAGAACATTTGAGTGTTCTTGAAAAATACTACTGTAGTAGCTAAATATACGAATGGTTATCATTATATGATTTATTTATTTATTTATAAAACGTTTGATAAATTGTTTTGTACGATTCATCTTCCGAATCCCAAGGGACGCCTCTGTTTCCCGTTTTTATGCAGAGTTGAAGTGGCTTTATCCTTCCTACCGACGTAAGTATTTCCTGGCATCCTTCCTCTTTCAAATCATCTTCCTCGTATACTCGTTCCCGGTCTTCTGATTTATACATAAGGGCCCACCGAACCGCTGCTTTTCACAGATCGTTCATTATCCGATCCTCATCCCTATGGAACTCCATCCCCCCCGACATCTGTCAATCCAAAACCCTTCCTACCTTTAAAACCAGCCTGTTCAATCATTTATTATCCATCCAGTCCCCATGAAATTGTAAATAGTTACTACTGTAAATATGTACATAAATTATTAGATCGTTCTTCATTATTTTTACTTCATGTTTGTTTTCAATTTTTCATTTTTTATTATTAACTGATTTAAATTAGAAAGTAATTTATAATTTCTTTTATTATTATTTTTTTTATTTTGACTATTTACTTATTCTATATTTTTGTTTATGTATCTCTGAGGCTCCTTAGCCCACATTTTTGTCTTTCTGTATTATTCTAAAGAGACTCGTCCTAGAATAAATAAAGCATTATTATTATTATATGATCTATAAAAGTGCCTGTTATTATTCAGAGAAAAAACAAGAAAGTTGGCGATATATTATCACTATATTTTCTCTCAAGAATATCATAACACAATGATGGGCTAGTGGGTCTGAACTGTTAAGGAAATGGTTTATTTACTTTTGTTATAGTTATGTTGATCTGTGACTTTTGGATGGATAACGGGTGGTAATAGTTCCTATCCACTGTTTTCTCTTATAGTAGTAACTACTCTGTTATATTGTATGCTAGTTTTATCCCATTCTGAACCTAACTTAATACAAAAAAAAATTAATGAAGGTTTTCTTAAAATTTGATATGTCTCTCCACAGTAGATAACTCTTTATGAGTTGATAACATTTAAGGAGTGTGATAATATTATCATTAATTATGTTATTTTTAAGTAGTTTGATTTTGTCATTTGTGATATTTAGGTAATAAAATATTGTCCTTATTGGTTATTATCTGTTTATAGCCGGCGATGAGAGCAACTATACAGAGTTTCTTCCGGAATGGCTTCGAGTTTTGATAGCGTGTGCCTGCTGGTTGCCTTCGGCTGTTCCACTCCAGTTTGTTGCTATATCGACCCTGCTAGATCTCATCGAGTTGTGTAGGACTGCTCAATCGTTAGTTCAAACAAGTTCAGAAGACGTTCTGACTCCTGTTCTGATACTACCTTTACTTTCGCCTCCTCATCTCAGGTTTATTGAGAAGCATACGTATATATTTCAAGTAAGTTCTTTACAAGTACATAGTGTTAAGCTCGATCATATTTCTTCAACATGTTCTGAATAGAAAAAGAAAACAGAACAGTTTTCTTTTGTTTTAAAAGAAAGATATGTTGAATTAAGTAGATTTAAAGAAGTTTCATAACCTTTTATTCGATTATTTTAAGTTTTATAAAAATATTAGTAAAAATGCTGTTATTAAAGCCTTGGTTATCGAGACGGCAACAGTTGCTGCCACTGTAGTAACTGTTGTAGCCACTTCTATCGTATAACTTCTATCGACTATATAAGAGAAGTCACACAACGGATTATGAAGTTTTGCTTAATAGTTAACAGTACCCATTGCAGTTGCTGCAGCTATTGTCATATCAACTACCACACGTTGGCATCTACTAGTGAACTGCCCCATATCATTTAACCTAATTGTGTGGAAAAATTTGCTCTCGTGTATTGTAGATTTGTTTCTGAAGTTGAAATTGACTTCATCTAGCATTTTTACTTTATTTAAATCTTGATAGTGGAATGAAAACTGTACGAGTAGCCTCTTATTTCTTTTTTAGTTTAGTAAAAGCCAATTTTTTTAAATTTTAACCATTCTACAGATTTTTACTTTCCTACCTATACTAGGTAAGGTAAGTATTGCAATCGGGTCAAATTTCCGACCTGCGGTTTTCGACGGATCTATACGTTTCAGAGCCTCCTGAGCCCGAAAAACACATTTTTAGCCATTGGTCTGTCTGTCTGTCTGTGCCAAGATTTTCTCGGGAACTACTGAACCTATTTTGATGCTTCTTTTTTTATTTTATAGGGTTTTGACTACTGATGCCTGTGACAGAAATCCGGTGCTTCATGCTCAATAGCTTGCACGCAATAAATGAAAAACGTGTTTTTCTATAGAATGTAGCGTAAAAACAGCTCTAACGATTTTGATGAAACTTTCCTATGATGTTCTAATCAATCTTTCAATTTTCGTATATAGACTAAATTCCCGAAAAAATTCAGGAAAAAAAGTTATAAAGAAATATAAATATATATACACTGTTTAGCCTGTCGTTTGAAAGGTAATGAAATTCGCTACAAAGCCATATAAAAATCGTTTATTTTGGACAACTATTAACGAATTTACAGGTATTCAATTTCCAATGTAAGATTACGGTTTCATATCCAGGTGTCAGAAAGGGGTAAATGAGAGAATAAAGATGACTAAGTGAAAGTAAGAAAATCTGTTACCCGCATCACAGAATCTTCACTATTTCCTCTACTTTTAACAGAAATTATTGTTTGACAATCCTAAGCTATGGCAAAAAGTTTTTGATCAGCAATATTAGATATTGTTGAAATTCTCATACTGATCTTAATCGTACTCAAATCTTATTTTTGATCAATTTTCAGGAAAATGTATCTAGTTCAATTCTTTTTTGTTTCTTCATGAACATATGTAAAGATATAAAAACTTTTCTGAAATAGGTAGGAAAGTCGTGTGAGTGAGCACACCAGATATTTTTTCATGATTCAACTTCAACATTTTTATATAAAATCATCAGAAACAGTTTTAGTTGAACCTTTGAAACAAAAATTGATATGTGAAAATGATCCGTCTTTAATATGAAACCACTCATGTAATTTGTATTTTTTAGCAATTATATTAATTTTCTCGAATTTGGTATTTGCATTTATTTTTATTAATTTAGTTTATTTTAAATTAAATTACTAGATTCTTGACTTTTATTTATTGTTATTATTTATCTAATATTTATTTATTTGTTTAAATGGATTGTTCAGACTTGTTTAAAATGGCACATTTTATCTGTTTTTCTACTAAATAGTTTCAATCTACTTGAATATGCTGTATGTTAAAAACAAGTTCTTTCCAAATAATATGTATTCATTCTTGTATTATTTGATTTCAGATATTTTTTAATAATTTGAATTATTTTTATTTATCCGGAATCAATAATCCATAAATGCTGTTTCATAACTTTCTTCAGTAATAATAGTTGTACTGAAAATCTGTTTTAAAGTTTGTAATTAACACATCTATTAGTTGAAGAAATTCTTTCTCTAGAATGAATAAAGTTGAAATGGTTAACAATCAACTGCCCACATTATGGCGAATATCGTATCTCCATCATAGTAATCGGGCGAACATATTACTTAGTTAACATTTATGATTTTTTTTTTTTTTAAATATCTGATCTAAATAAAGTTCTTTGTTTTTTCATGACTTTAACCCTATTGAATGTTTCAGATCATTGCTAGGTGGCTGTGGAATCAGTTGGCGAATTTGGAATATAAATTAAAATGTGTAGAACTATTGTATCAACTTCACAGCATGCTGCTTAATAATGACGTCGTCGAAAACTGTATTTGCAACTCATTGAAGGGAATTGGTATGACTCCTGATGAACGATTAGAGTCTTTTCGAAGATTTGCATCCCTTTGGCATATTGGACGCGAAATAAATGCTAAACAGGGAAATTCACTAAGGATTACAGATATATTTTATAAGTGAGTCGTAATAAACTATTATTACTATTGATGTAGATACTAGCTATATAGTAATAGGTACTTGATTTAAAAAAGTGATTAATAATGATCATTTAATAAAAGACAAACTGTTACCGATTAAATTAGGGGTCTCCAAACAAAGCTGGAAGCACATCCGATTTGGCCATCAAAAGTTTCTTTGACTACATGGCATCTTTTTAAATCTATGAATAATTTAGAAAATCACTCGAACACGACGTTACTACATTTATTGCATGAGTTGTTTCTCTTAAAAAGCTAATTTCACAAATATATGTGTCATTGAAAGAAGTTAGTCGACTGTTCTACATTTCATAGGTGACAAATATTCAAGATGCAGTCATTTTTAACCGAAACATATGTGGGTCATCATTAGGGCATGTTTCGAGCACTGAAGGTATTCAAGTACTCACTTGATACTAGCTAAGGGAAGTACCAGTACTTGAATACCTTCAGTGCTGGAAACATACCCTGATGATGACCCACATGTTTGGGTTGAAACGTCATCACTAATAAAAACATTAAAAATGACTGTGTCTTGAATATTTGTCACTAAAAAGTATAAATGTGTATTGGAAATCCTTAGATTAGATCATATAAAACATCTCTACATCTCGCCTTTTATTTTCCTTTAGCTCTTACGTGATATGTTTCTCATTTAGAAACTTCATAGCCAGTCTAGATTTTTTCCACATTCTAGACATTCATAGCTCTAAACAGCTAGCCTAGTGCATATCTGTAGTATACCGAGGAAACATTGTAAATCTGAAAAACATGTAATTATATTCATAATAACAATAGGTACAGCAAACTCCTGTGGTCTTTGTATTAAAATGTTTTGCTGTTGGGTCATCTCATTTTTCTTCTGGAGCCATTTCAATATCTGTTAGGTCTTTAACTTTGCTATTTTTACTTTTTTATCTATACTAGGTGAGGAAAGTATTGAGATCGGGTAAAATTTCTGATGTGTGGTTTTCGACGGATCTATACAGTTCAAAGCCCTCTGAGCCCAAAAAACACTTGTTTTTTTTGGAGGGGGAGGGGGAAAGTATTGAAGTTCCTGTATAAAGATCGTTCATTTTGGACAACTATTTTCGAAGTTACAGCTATTTAATTTCATATGTAAGATCACGAGTTAAATCCTGATGGTGGAAGGTGATGCAAGAGAGATAAAAAAGTGAAAGTACAAACAAAAATCTGGTGCCCCATCACACAAGTTTCACTTTCTCCTCTACTTTTAACAGAAATTATTGTCCGACAAATTGGGCTATTGCAATAAATTTTTTGTTCAGCAATGTCAGAACGTATTGAATTTTTTATGCTAATCTTCCACAAACAAGTTTACTTCGCTTTAGTTTATCAAAGAAATCGTACCCAAATCTTTTCTTTGGTCAATTTTCAGGAAAATAAATCTAATTATATTTTTTTGTTGTGGTTTTAAAGATATAAAATTTTTTCTGCAGTCGCTAGGAGAGTCCTATGAGTGGACACAACTGATTTTTTTAAAGTAGTTTTTTGGCGCTCATGTAAAATCTGGTGAAATTTACATACAATTTTTCCTCGTTTACTGTCAATATTGTTTAATGAAAAGATGTTTGTGCCAACATTTTTTATTTTTTTTTTATTCTTATACTGGGAACTCATTCCTTTATTTAAAGCCCCTAAATGCATTTTAGCGTGTCCGGTGCCCAGGTCAAATCTTCCTGAGTATGCTCATATTTACCTATGTTAAAGTGAATTAAAATAAATGCAAAATAGGCTATGTATTGCTCACACTGTTAATTGTATTTCCTTTTCTTAATCATTCTTTGTAGAACTGATATAGGTGAAACTTGGTTCTATTTGAATAATATTTATTTTTAAATTAAATTTCCTCTCTTTGTTGGATAAAAAATTACTGCTTTGACCAACATAAAGATATACTAATTAACACAAACCGTATAAAGGTTTGATTCTCTTCTTATTGAACATTGTAGTATCTTCATGTAGAACAATGTTCTTCTCAATAAATAATATGAGACCCTAGATTAGCCATTCTTTTTCATTTTTTCTCTACTGTCAAAAACCTAGGAATAACCTTTGACCAGAACCTCTCCTGGAATAACCATATCTCCCAGATTACTCAAAAATCCATAACTGTCCTTAAACAACTCCTAAGATTCCGTGATTGTATTCCTCTATAACCGACAGATCCTTGTAACCTCCCGTATATTCCCCCACTTCGACTATGGCTGTTGGTTGTTTGAAGGGCTATCTGCCAGGCTAGAAATGAGACTGAAGAAACTCATGAACTGCTTCATAATATACATCTTCAGGATCCTCAGGCGTTGACATATTTCATTCTGGTATAACGAGTTGAAGTGGCTTTATTCTACTTCCTGATGACAATTCCTCCTTGGTGTTTTCCTTTTCCAAGTCCTTAGAACCAAAAACCCTCCCTACATCCTGGAACCTCCTTACTCTATCTAATTCTGTCATAAATATTGTTACTAGAAACATATACAGATTTCAACAGAAAAATAATTTTTTTCAAAAACTTCATTAGAAAATAAAATGTATATCTATAGAGAGTACAACAAATCCAAGTTAAGATGTGCTCTGTGGCATGCTATCCTCTCCAGTTCGGATCAAAGTCGATAATCTAGTGGGTTGAGATCAGGGCTTCCTGAGGGCCAATCCGATGCTGAGATCAACTCTGAAATGTTCTTATGCAGCCACTTAGTTCTTATGCTGAGATGACCTGGCCTTGTCAGCTAGACCGGAATCCAGCCGGAAAACCCAATGACTTCCAGCAAACAGAGTAGCATTTAGAGGCTTGACAACAGGTTCAAAATATCGTTCTGATAGTTTTTAGCGTCTGTTTTAACTCCTTTTTTACAAAAATGGTTTGTGGAGCCATCAAAGCAAACTTTCCACCAAACCATCACTGAGGAAGGGTGATGACCTCTTTTCATTCTTCCAATGACTTCCTGGACTTCTTTAGAGCTGTGTGTGTACACACGATCATATTGGCGATTAAATTTTTCTTCAATTGTAAAGTTTTCTCATAGCTAAACAAAATCGTTCAATGAAGACCATTGGTGTAACCGCTAGGGAGCCCTTTGCATCTATCCACCCTTTTATTCTTTTTATGGAAGTGGTTGGCCTTTGTCCTGTCATTCTTCGAAATGCACACATCCTAAGATCACTTTTTATCATGCGAGACATTGATCTGAAAGAGATTCCCAATTTTCCGAGACATGATTTGTTGTTTTCATCAAATGGGATTTTTCCTCATTATAACAGCCACTGCTGTCACTGTATTTACCGTTCTCAGAGTGTGGGGACGGCCCGGTATAGGTCTGTCACATACAGAAAGGGTCTCATTATATCTATTTATAGTGCGTAGATGAACATACGGCTGATATCCAAAGGTTTCAGTGTTAAAAATCTCTGACCTACATTTTCAAACTTTGTGAAAGGTGATCACAGCTATTCGGTTTTCTTTATCACACCATGTTAACTGAGCGAAAGAAAATTACAAACTAATTGTGATTATTATCTTGATATGTAAAGAAAATAACCTGATAGAGGTAAAGATTATCTAAGTAATACCCAAGGATGTAAACAAAGTTCAACTTTTGTAACAGTATTTATTATGGCAGAACTAAGTGCATTCCTCTATCCACTCTCTCTTAATACCAGGTCTCAACCTATAGATTGAATTGTATTCCTCTCCCATGAAACTACTTCCTTCAGCAAATCCTTCCGTCATTCGTGCTACCTCCTTTTGGAACTCTCTTCCTACCTCCATGCGTCAATACTTGTCCACAAATTCCTTCAAACAACTCTTGTTCCACCACCTACTCCACATTCAAATTTCCACAAATATGTAAAATTATTTGCATCTGTATACTGTTGAATTTCAATCTACTGCACAATAGCAATAACAATCAGCAGTTAATTAGTTTGTATTTTTTATTATTCTAAGCCAGACTAAGAGAAATAAATTTGTAACTGTTATTCCTAGGGGATTGTAGTCCCAGAAAAAATTATTTTTTCATCCATTTCATAGGTTGATACTTTTATTTTATTGTGATTTATTATAAATTATTAAGATATATATTTTATATATTTATTTTTTCAGGTCTATGTTAAAGATGTTGGATAATTTAAAACTTCCTGAAAGTGACTGTTTAAAGGTAGAAGCTCAAAATTGGCTCTTTCATTCTTTGATTCGAAATGACCTTCCAAGAATACTCGATCCTATATTTTATATACTACTTGATCATCCAACCGCTCGCTTGAGTGTTCTTCATATCAGAGCGAAAACCACTGATGATATTAATTCTACTAATACTCATGAAGAGCATAAAAATGTTTATGCAGTAAGCTCTGTAAATGGAACACTAGTATATCACTCCGACTCTAAGAAAAAATCTACGAATAAAAAAGGGAAGCACATAACTGCTGTTACATCTATGACGAACCAAAGCTCGAAATTAAATCCTAAATATGTGACGGAAAAAAATGAAGAAAATCTACAAGTATTTGATAATACAAAGGACAAAAATGCTAGTCAAAGTATTTCTGTTTATGTTAATCCATTGTCTGCCAATCAGCCTGAAATCAATACAGATTTTGATGAATATTTCGAAGACACAAATGGTAATGAATTTCCATCAGAAAATAGTGAGTCTGCTCCGAAGGCAGTACAAACAAATATTGATAGCGTTAAAAATAGTAGTGGTAAAAATAAGTCAAGTGAACAAGAACCTGGAAAAACTGGGTTTGGAATAAATACAGCTCTTAAAATATCTTCTCTCGATTTGTTAAATATATCTGATACCATATTTACCAAAGTTAGTGATGGCGAAATCAGTAAAATACATAGAGGTTCATTCTCGAGCGAAGGGATTTCTACGATAATATCCGATGAAACCGAAACATCTTTAGTCAGTGTCGAGAGTAGTGGAATGGTGAGAAGTTGGTCTTTTCCGGGGAAAGATTTAGACAATAACAGTGATCTAGAAGAATCGGCTGCTGCTGAAGAATATTTTAATGGTCAAAGTGATGATTCTATGGCAGTGGTGGAGTATATTCTCGGTGATCTGTTAGACAGAGTTGTATTTCTTTCTGGAGACCTCGAAGTTACAACCAAGGTAAGATAATGTATTTGAATTTATTTTCTTTAAGGATATAGTGATTTTTTGTATTATAAATGTTAGTGTAAGAGTGAGAGTGAAATATAATTTAAGATAGACATTCATATTATTGTAGCAATTTTTTTTTTAAATATCGTGGTTTACTAAAAATTATTTTTACTAATTTTAATCAAATTTTATTCAGATGTTTCGGATATAGAAAATATTTAGTATCGGTGTACTCGAAATGATATGAGTAGGGCAAGAGTTGAAAATAATTTTTATTTGTTGTTGAAACAAAATGTTTAAAAGCATTTCTATATTTTGAACTTTTTTTAACTCCTAAGTCAAAATTGATTTCTTATTCTCATGAAATACAATGTGATTCATTATTTTATTTATTAAATATCTCTGTTACAGCCTGTGAAAGCCCAAGTAAAACCGAAATCTCAGAATCGGAAATTACAATACCAACCAACAATTACTTCTCATGGTAGCTGCACAGATCCATTGCACTCTCATATACTATTATACCAGAAGAAATTTGAAGCGGACAAAATATTGTATGCTTTAGAAACATTAAGGAATATAATTGTTCATAATCCAAGACTTTTTTTACACTATTCATCGACGACACTTCTTGTTTCGAGGTGACTATGTTTCTTATTCATTTTTATATTTTATTTTGTTCACTTCAAAATGACTAGTCTGTATACAAATTTGTGAAGATTCACGATATTCCGGAACTCATTTAAATTAGAAAGCCTAAAGACGACAATGAATATCATAAAGGTTTATTTGTATGTATGAGTTTTGAAACAAAAGAAAGAATTCTTCTATAAATGAATTATAACCAAATTGAAAAGAATAATCATAAATTTGTTATCTTTCTTTATTTTTTCTGTTCTAAGATATTTGTTCTACCTTACGGAACAGTAAACAAAAAGAAAAGAAATTCACTGTCAAACCAATTTATTTTTTATTTTTTTTAATTAATTCATTTTATTTAATAGAGCTAAGCATTAGAATTCTTCTTACCATTGAAACAGGTTTTAGATCATTGTTTAAATCATCATTTAAAATTTATCTATATAGTCAAATTTTGAATGGACACATTTTATACATTCTTGAAAAAACAGATGGGTTCTTTCAGTCATTGGTTTTGTGGATTCTAATATATTAATTATACAAGAAATGGGCGGTGCCATATGCCCCTTTCATCTTTGACCAAAAAATGGTCATGATAGTCCTTGATTTTAGAAACTGTACCATGACATAATTTTCTTCAGTGCTTACCTCACTCGCCATGCCCAAAATAGTGTCATAAACAGAAGCTATGATTCAGGGTTCAAATCTCAGAATAGAAAGTATGGTGATAATTAAAATAATTTCATAACTATAACTGATTTTTTGCCTTATAAACATAAAACAGTTAAAATTTATTAATAAGTATTAACTCTGAAACTCTACTTTGTTATTTTATTTATACTTTTCTTTGTTATTAGCCTCATTTAATATGAACTCTGTCTAGGTCGCCTATCCTGAATGCACTAGCGAGGCACAGAAAATCATTATTTGGTAGAGGATTTTATGGAGACTTAGATGGTGGTAACATTCGAACCGCTATGTATCTCGAAGTTATTATGAAGACTTGTTTATATTTCATCCGTAGTTTTTATCATTTGGAACAACATAATATAACGCAGAAAGACATTGAAGGCAACAAAAAAGTAACTTTTTTTATTTTTAGAAGTATAATTTTTTGTAAGAATGTTTACAGTTGTTTTAGACTTTCTGATGAAATAGATATATTTTTCTTACGTCTGACTAACAGTGGCACCTTTATTAAATTTTGTATATTAATCAGATGTAACTTTCAGACATAGTTCACACTTTGTTTATTTAATTTCATATGATTAAAGAGACTAATGAATTGTTTTTAGATTTATTTTTTAAATTAATGAATTAGATTTATCTTTGGTATCCCTAGGCACTCCTACGACTCTAGTCCTAAGCCCGAGTTGAAGTTCCAGTTTTCAGACTGAAATATTTCCTTGGTGTGTTCCTTTTCCGAACCTTCGCAACCAAAAAACCTTCTTACTTGCACGATTTGACTCCTTATTATGTTCTTCTGTTCATTTGTCGAACATGAGATCCCAGCCCTCAAACCTTTATTCCTTCTCATAGAACTATTTCCTTTAAAAAAATCCTTTGTCATACGTGCTGCCTTGTTCTTTTGGAATTCCCTACCAACCTCAATATACAAATCCTCATCCTTGAATTCATTTAAACACTACTTATTTTTCCATCTCCCCAGCAATCAATCATCCGAATATATGTAAAGTTTTTGTATTTTAGAGCTGTCAGCCTCATTTCACTGTTATCTTACAGATTAAACTTTGAAGGAGAAGTGAAAGCCATTCTCTTAGACCTTGAGAGATTAATTAAACAGAAAGATAAAAAAGTTGCTTTCTTTGTTGACTCACAGGCAGCCATTTTGTCTCTCCAAAATGGATATAATATAAATGCAAATGTTCCTAAAAGCCATCAATATTTGAACCGATTAAACGAAAATGAAACAGAAGTCGCTTTCCAGTGGATACCAAGCCATTGCGGGCTCCACGGAAATGAGGAAGCTGACAAACTGGCCAGAATAGGTTCTGGAATGATCCAACCCAATATTCCTCTGGCCATGGATTCAGCAAAAAGAATTATAAAACAGACCCTCCAAAGTTCACTGAAAGAGAAATATGTACAAACAATTGAAGGGAAACGATGTAGTGGATTGCTGGAAGAAAGTGGCAGGATTCCTAGAGACCTCCCTAGAGGGCAAGCCGTGGCATGCTTTAGAATGCTCACAGGCCATGATTTCCTTCAGAAGCACCTCCACCGCATCAGTGTAAAAGATATGCTCTCTATGTTCCTTAGACATGTTGACAGGAGAACATCTTGATACATGCCCTGCATTACAGGACATAAGATGTTCCTTTAATGAAATGGACAGCCCTTATACTAGGAGAGCAAAACTGTATTGGACTGCAAGAGCACGCATGGCTAACGAAGCAGGCGTTACTTAGGCGTAGGAAAAAAAAAAAAAAAATCTTACAGATACCTATTATATTATCTACATTACTTATTTTTACAAACATGTGAACTCACTCATATGTCTTTATCTATAATTTCATATGTCTACTTGTGCTTTTCCTTCATTACAATTGTAGGGTTAGATAACTATGCATTAATCCTTAATTGTTTTCTATTACCAGACAAATGTCACTTCATTATTTATTGTCTTTGTGGACTAAATGTTCCAGAACAAAATTTATTTTACTTTCTTTCTTCCTACCTTTTAAAACTTAAACTTATAATGCTTGATACTTAAACTAGTTGTTTCTTTACTAAATAGATTATATGAATTATGTCTTAGGATTAGGTTACTTATAAAAATTATGGTAAGTTAAATACTTCAATATTTCATTTCCAGGTTCAAATTTGTGCGACTGATATCTTGAGGTTGCTGTGCAGTGAAATGATAACTTTCGTTAAAGCAAACGGCAGGAGTCTATCGTATTATCTCGCAGATATGTTCACACGATTGAAATTATACAAAATCGTTCTGCATTGCGTACTGACTAGTTTGACACCTGTAAGAACAGAGAGTGGACAACTCTCTCACCAGGTTCTTAAATTTAATGACGGTTTTGATATTAATTATCAAAGGCTTCCTATGCATTCTGAGACTCTTCAAATACAATTAATGAGGTATTTAATCATACAACTGAGTATCTTTAGTTTTTTACAGATATGTGTTTCTTATTTGACTGGATTAAGCAGGTGTGAATAAGGCAAAATAAATATATATTGAGATGTATCAACATTTCACCATATGAAGAAAAAGCATAAAGGTAGAACTGAAACCCTAAAAAGATTTTGACATTTAACAAAATACGTTAACATATTTTTAACTCAAAATTAGGCACTGGAACCATGACCTGAGATAATAGTATCTTTCTTGGACAATCTTTTCCCGACCAGTGCAAGAACCACTATATATGTATAAAGTAAAAAAATATCGGATATTGGAGTCATATGACATATACATTTTGTTTTAGGGGAGAACATTTATTTCTCATTATAGAACATTATAATAATATAATATTAAGTAGTTTGAGTTGAATGGAGGATTTATATTATGTTAATTCTATTTTAAGTTTGTGTCTTATTATTCAATGCTAAATATTTATCTGGGTAATCAATATTAAATTTAATTCAGAAGTGTTGAAGATATTTGTGTGGAGAATCATTTTATTTATTTATTTATTTATTATAATAAGCTCTTTAAAAATAATTTTGCATCAGCGTTGTATTTTAGTAGTCTCATAATATATTATTAATAATTAATATTTATTTTACATTTGATAATTTGAATTTTGGTTTCTTATTTTCAATAATCAACCATTGTGATCGACCAAAAAATCCAAAAACTTAATCCCCTCTGAAAATTTGAGGTTTCACATTTCAGAATGCGTAGAATTCGAAAAACAAATAAAAAAAATTTTGTCGTATGCTGTCCGCACATTTTCTCCGAAACTACTGGACTGATTTTTTTAAAATTTGGATATAAAATCAGAGGTCACTCGACGATGATCCTCCTTCATTGACATTACTATCCACCTTTTACTTTCACAATGGCGGCCGAAAAACCTGCATTGCTATAGACTGTAGCTCCTAAACTAATGTACCGATTTCAATTAAACTTTGCTAAATTCATTTTCTTGACACCCTTAAAATTTATCTATATAACATACTTCAGCAAAAAGAAGCTGGAAAAAAAGTTATGAGGGATGGTCAAATTTAATTCCGAATAACTCAAAAAGTATGCTCTTTTTTATTGATATTCTATATGTTTTTTTTTAAAGTTTACGGAATTTCCTAATAAACAAAAAAATCGTTAAAATTGGACAATTAGGAGCAAAGATATGGTCCCCAGTTTTTTTTATATGTTCTACTCCAAATGTTATATCCTTTGTTTGGTTTATTAATTTTGAATGTGTTACTGAAGTAATGCTATTTTTTTTTTTTTTAGCATATTCCTAATGGTTAAAAATAAAAGTTTAGTCCAATAATTGGAATCACCTTTTATTTATTTTTCTTTATAACTAGGAAGGTAATGTTACTTTAGATGTATAGTTGTTTGGAAATAAACTATTGTGGAATAATTTGCAGAATTTTTTTTTTTTTACTTTATTTATTCCCCCACATCTGTTTAATCCAGTATGATAATTTACAAGGGTCTTTACATTTTCCTTGACCATCATGGACTTAGTAGCTCCCTTACAGCATAAAAAAATTAAATTTTAATTTAAAATAGAAATAAATTTCTTAAAAACTGATTGATAGCATCAGGTCGATTATTAGTATTTCAACATTTTGATTTAAATTGATTATGTCTTCTTGTCAACAGTTTATTTTTTTAAAGATATTTTTGTCTATTTCTATAATTAATTAATTTAATTGATATTTAATCTATAATGCCTATCAGAATTTATTCTCTGTTCATATCAGTTTTTTTCAATACACAGCACCTGTTTTTAGAAAGTAATTCATACAATTTTGTTCAAATTTTAACTTTGTTTTCTGTTACTGGTAGATTCCTTTTATCATTACTGATTTTGGAGAGGGAAATAAGCTTCCATCGGACCGAATCTTCAACTTCAGACAAAAACGTTGATTCTCTCTCTGATCTTCGCTATATTAACGGACGGCTGATTCCAGAACAGCCCATGTTCTTAGCTATTGTAAGGAAAACATTTTATATCTTCTGATGAAAGTTCGCTTTTATGTTAAGATTTAATCTAAAGCAATTATTCATTCTTAGGTTTCAAGAGCTTTGGAAATGCAACCGTATTCTAGGCACACTCATTCATTTTGGACTTCATTTGTTGCTTCATCTTTGCCTTGTCTAGGAAATGCGTTGACTAAAGTTGTAACGACTGTACTTAAGCAGATATGTAGCAACGTAGAAGAACTTTCTCAATGTTATGGTGGGAAAAGTAGTATTTGGTAAGTGAAATGTGATTTTTTATTAAGTAAATTCTTTTACATTTCTTTATTATGAAAAAAAGCTTATACTTCAATATAAAAAACAAAACAAAAAAACTGAATACCATAAAAAATGAGATAGCAATATTAACAACTGTTGAATTTTAGTTACATCTTATATGTAAGTTGAATAGAATAATTACAATTGGTACATTATAATTTTTAAATCTCTTTCAGTTTTCCACCTGATTACGGAATAACCCAGGTTGAAGCGATGACTGTTCTTTGTCATTTTTGTCTTCTTGATTCAGCATTTAAAAATCAACCGCTTGTATCATTTCCTGGATCTTGTTCGTCTCAGATATTCAACAATTTGACTAACCTAATTATACCCAGTCCCGTTGTGAGCTTAAGTGTAAGTATACATCAATAATTTTTGTTTTATATTTAAATTAGCGGGAATAGGGAGCTCAGCGATAGGGTGCCTTCCAATGGTCTAGGTCTCATGTTCGAATCCTGGCTGATGGCAGATAAGTTATTTATTCTGATCCTCAGCTATCAATTGACTCTGGATTTGAGAGACCCTCCTAAGGCATACCCAGTCTATATAAAGTGGATTCCTTTAATTAAATAATTGACTGAGGGAGAAAACCTGGCAGTTGAGCATGATCTTGCTTGAATCACATACTTACACAACTGTTAACCAAGAAACAGTACTCCATTACAAAGTACTAAACCCAAGACCCTTCATGGGTTGTAGTGGTACAGGTTATTTAAGTTAACTCACAGGTTCTTCCTCTGATTGTTTTTGTTGTAATGAAACATATTCTCTCAGAGACTATCATAAAGATAATTTTTTATTTACTTAACTTTTTGTCGATTTATTTCAAAAAGTCACTAATTGCATTATTAATATTGATTAACTTTCAAAAATGTTTTTATGAATTTCGACTTTATTTATGGATACTAAAACATGGCAAGGGCATGAAAATAAACCAATCCCTTTTATACATCAAATATAGTTAAAACAAGTGCACAGGTTTCTAATTTCATAAAGGAAAAATTGTTTAAAGTTCTTATTTAGGTAAGGTTATGAAATGTCACTTAATGACTTTTTGCAATAAACCGACGATATGCTCTCTTTGTTATGCAGTTTTTAGTATGAAAACATATTTTTAGTTTCTGGAGACAGCCTCATCCAAATGAACAACAGTTCCGCAGTCAATATTTCCTTCCGTCAATATTATATAAATACTTTTTAAATCAAGTTGTCTCCCTCTGGAACTCTATACCCTCAGATATTCGACACGCAAAATCAATATCCTCTTTCAACACCTACTCCATTCCCAATCCGATTGATCACGAAATGCACTTAAAAACCTAAGCAGTAAGAATCTCAAAGTACACCCAGATACTTTGATTATTTTGTGATTCATTGATATTTTGTTTACTTAATTTACTTTCTCTGTTTATTTTATATTTATACACGTTTTTATATATTTTTATTATCTATAATTTTATTGTATTCCTAATCATCCTGTAAATATTTGATTGTATTTTATGGACACACCAGAATATTAATATATATTCTGTATTTGTAACTTATTCTAAAGAAACACTAGTCCCAGAATAATAAAATTATTTTCATTCATTCATTCATTCATTCATTTCTGTTGAAGTAATTTAAAACTTTATTGATTCCTTAATTGTTTTTGTATTATTTTCTATCAGTATCTTAATATTAGCTTTTACTCCATGGTACAGACCCCTTTTTATCAAATTATTAATATCCGCCTAAAACTTCATGAAAAGCTTCATCTCATCGTAACTTACTACTTTTTTTATTTCTGAAAATTCTCGGAATTGGGGCGGTTTCAATCTAGAGATTGGCAAACTTTGTCTATTTAATTAGGTACTACAAATTCATGAAACTCCCATTTGCTCTCCGCTTGAATCGTAAGATATGTTCACAAAATCGAGAAAAAAGATGATCTACAAAAATGTTGGGCAGTTGAGCGTGACCTCCACCCGTAACATGTCCAAATAACAAGGTCATATAGGCCCAATATTTTTGTAGGTCATCTTTTATTTTTTTTTTATCCTGCCAGCAAATGAGTTTGGAGTACTTCATTTAATTGATTAATTTAATGAGAAAACGCCTCATTTCTGAGAATTTTAGTGAATAAAAAAGTTATAGGTTACGATAAGATTAAGCGTCAGAATTTTTACCAATAGCAGTCTCTCTATTATACCCAGAGAAGCTTTCTGTGTCCCCACACCATATTTATCTCTTTTTCCTTATTTTTTCTATTTAAAAAACGTAACAGATTGGAACAGTGTTCTTGTTTTGTCTCATATTATATTTCTCAAAGAACAGGACTTTCTTTGTCCGACACCATCTTACTGAGTAACTCTGTACAGTCTAAAATTACTTAATATTAAGCTAATCTTAAGAGGTTTATTGTAAATAATACATAAACAATGAAGGAATCAATGATGTTTTAAATTACTTCAAGAGAAAATGTTCTTCATTTGGAAAATCCCGTTGGATAAGAATCCTGATCTTTGATTAGCTTTGTTTGGTTTCATTTTCTTTAAGTTTTAAAGTTTAAATATTAATAAAAAAGAAAAACAAAATGAGATGTTAATTGATAATGTATTGCATATTGTTATAATTAACAACCTCATTGTTTTATGGGGAGTTTATTGTCGGAGCCTTACCTATATACAAGCGTTAAGGTTTAAATTTTAAGCCTCTGCGCTTAATATAGGGCGTCTACCTTAGTCCTTTTAATGGATACTAAGGTTCCTAGCTTGTTATACTGCCCGCTTGCAGTTTCACATGAGTTTTGCCACAGTCCTTCACTGCAGATACACTTTTCTATAGCTCATTTGAAAATTTACATATGAGCCCTTCAGTTGACAGAATGACCAACTTCAATTTCAACATTTTTGATCAAATCGTTTTAGTCATATTTCTAGTTAGAATATTTATAATATCTGTACAGACAATGTATAATTTGATTCCAGATGAAGGCCACTGTTCGAGTGATGATTACTTCTGTCTAGTTACTTTTGATTAAATCATGGTTAATAAATCAAATCATAAGTAAATTTTTTATTTATTTTATATTCATTGCAGGCTGAAATTAATGATGAATCGTTGATCATGGCAAGGAAATCTGTATTAGGTCATTTACCAAGAGTGATTGCTAGTTCATCTGTGCTTTGGCAAGCACTAATCAATAGAAAAGAAGCGTAAGTTTAGTTTCGTTATTAATTTTTAGCTTTTATCTGCAATGTTAATTTTTTTCATGTAATCATAAGTTAATTATTGCGAGGGATGTATTTAGATGATATTATGATAGTAAACACCAAGGATTTTATATATGTATACATTTTATTTTTTTTAATATTTTTAGTTTCTAGATCAGCTTAGTGATCAATGGCTATTTCAATTAGATAAATGGCTATTTTAATAATAAGTAAAATTTTTAACAGTATGCAAATTCTGAATAAAAAATATTTTTACTAAGAAGTGATTGTTTTTTGACATTCATCTGTAGGCTAATTGAGTATTTAAGACTGTAAATTCTTCTTTCTTGAATTTAATTTTCTATCTGCATATAAAATTTACAAGGTGATGCTCCTTCCTGACTAAAAATTTATCTAATAAAAAAAAAAACTTTTCATGTGTATTGTAGTAGGATTTAATTTTTTTCTCAAGGTCGTTTACCTCTAGAATTCTATCTTTATTTTTTATCTCTTCCTTGAGCCTTTGAGTCATCTATAGAATAGAATAGAAAATAAACTTTATTTTGGGACAAGGTCCCTTATGAATAACAATCATGAACAAAAAATAAAAACCACATTTGGCCAAAAATTACATTAATCAAATTTAAATAATATATAAAGTATCTTCAGCGAAAGTGTATTATGACAAATAAAAAAATAACACCATTTTGAAAAAAAAAAGAAACATTATTTAAATGAAAAGAAAAACAGAAATCGGGTAAAATAAAAAACAAAATATTATAAGCAACCATTCACCTCAGTCAAAATTTGATTCACAACATTTGTTTCATTGTATAACGTCATTTTGGAATGTGAGAAGGAATCGGTAGAGATGATATTTAAATGAGGGCAAGGAAGAGGCATGGCGGATATCAGATGGCAAGGAATTCTAGAAGGCAGTGGATCGGGCAATAAAGGAATATTCAAATGTCTTAGTTCTATGGGAAGGGATATAAAGGTCGGAAACACTGGATTGAACTGTAGAAGACTGTAGATATTGGAAGGGAGTCGGGTATTGATCGTTTGGAATAGGAAAGATTAAAGGAAATATTGTCGGCGGGAAGAAGGGAAGAGCCACTTACTTCAACTCGTTGTGAAGGTGGGACACATGAGACCGCATCGAAGTACTGAAGACAAATCTTAAGCAGGAATTCATGAGTCACTTCAATCTTCAAAATTAAAAAGGAGAGGGTACTCATGCCCTGGGCCACTCCAGAGGACAACATAATTACACTTATCCATGGTATCTTCAACTTCTAGTAAGATGTTGATATCTAACCCTTCTATATCTGTACTAGAATAATCAAACTGATCTATAAAGTTTCAATATACTTGAATATACTTCAATAAAGTTGAAGCTTTATTAGTATTAGTATAATAATTTGAATTAATTAATTTTGTATTTAACAACGAAAACATAGAGAATAATAATAATTTAGTGAAAAATAGTTATCTTTGTTGTTGTTATTGAAGATTTGACTGGATGGTTTATCCATTTACTATTTTTTGGAGGACCCGCATAATTAATTTGAATCTCTTCACTCTTGCTCTGAAGACTAGGTTGTTATCTCCCAGTGTGACCCGCTCTGTCTCACAAGTTAGAGTAATAGAATATGTTTGACCCAATGAATTATCTTTGATATTTTGCAGATTTTTGGCTGGATGAAACTTTAAGTTGAAGTTGATTAGTTTTTTCTATAGTGGTCATTTATGGATAGAAGCACATTTGTTTTAAACAATTAATAATGCTCATGTTCTATTATCCTTTACCTATATTTTTTTTCACGCTGTGTTTTATTGTTCTTTGATTATAGTCAAGTTTTGTTTCACAGGGAAGGTGAAAATTGCGAAGTCGGTAGCGGACGGATCGTGAAACAACAAATTTTGGACTTCCTGAGTCCTATCGCTGTACATCACTCAACCAGCTTTCTTGCTGCTATGGCTGTTGTTTGGAGAGAAAGAAGAGTTCCAATTACACCTAATAATTATACCGTAAGATCTATAATATTATTGTTGAGTCAAATTCAAGGTATTTTCTCAGAGCCGTGTAGTCCATTTATCCTGATTTTTAGGTAACTTCGTTCTAATTAAATTTATTTTTTTTATAAACACATTTTTATGTATAAAAAATTAGAAATCTGAGATTCGTATTGGCATAAGTAAAAGTCTGTATTTTTTTATAAATAATAACCATATATTTTTTTAAACTGGTGACTGAAAATATCTACAACCATATTTACTATACGTGTCTTGATGAACGATTTTTATCATCATGCTAACTTTTTTAAAACGTATGGAGAACTGTATGTGTAGATTGAGGATATTGAATTAATTTAAATTATTTATCTCGACTCCAAATATTTTTAAAATATAAAATTTATTAGAAATTATTCCTTTCAATGTTCGATGTTATGTTTATTTCAGCATTCCTGTTGCCATATACCCATTTTCATTATTCAAGACAATTCTTAATATCTAATTTAAAGTTGAAGCTGCTCTTATTAATTTGGATTTAATAGAAGTTCAATATTACAACTGTGATTGTATGATTGAAAGTTGCTATTTTTTCTGTTCTGTATTTACATTTTATCATGATAGAGAAAACTAGACTGTCCCACAAAAACTGATTTAGGGAGAGGGTAGAAAGCTTCAATAAAAATATATTTTGGATATAAATAAAATTTGAACTAACTGTGATATTATTTCACGTATTTTGTTAATATTTAATGAACCTTATCTGTTACTCAACACAGTTTCACACTTTCAAGTTTCAGTTTTTTAAATATTTATTTCAGACTTAAAAAAAGGTAACGTACGTTACTATAGAGGGTAAGAACTGCTAAAAGAAAATAACTGTTAAGAAATAACAAACTGTTTTTTTAGGTTATACCAAATGCAAGTGATGATCAAAAAGTTCTTGTACAACTATTAACTGGTATCAAGGCAATGCCTATCGATTTAATAGTGCAAACTTTGAGCCAAATTGTAAAGCAACCCGCCATGGATCAGGTATTGTGATAGCAAGAACAATATATTTTTTTAAATTACTATTATTAATCCAAGACATGTTTCTACCTACTGGTTTCTGTTTCAGGAAATTGCCGTTAGTGTGGAAGTGAGTGCTTTAGAATTATTTGTAAATTATACTCAGTTTGTGGCGGCGGGAAGCTTGTGTGACAGTTGGTCCAGTTTCCTTCAGCTGCTCAAGGAATCACCCAGTCTTAGTCCGCCCGCACAATTCCTCTTGCTTGGCGCTCTAAGTCAGTTTGTCGAGAAATGTCCAACTTTCACTGATAAAAAGGATCTCAAAGATATTCAAGATATAACTGTCAAAGTTAGCAAATCATTTAATTTGTACATTTTCTTGTTGTTTTATTAAAACTTATATAATTTAATTTTTATTTTTTTAGATGGTTGAATCGTGCATAACTATTGCCGGTGCTTGCTTAGAGCAAACAACTTGGCTTAGGAGAAACTTAGCTGTCCGTGAAGAGGAACCTCCGGTTACTCCAGACAAAGAGGACAAATGTAAGTATGATTTTTTTTTTTTTTAATATTTGTCATCGTAATGTTATTTTTATAACTTTTTACATTTTTTTTTATTAAAATTGATTATTATTGATGTGAAGTATTGTCACATCATTATATTTCCATTAAGCTAACCTGAAAGTTATTTTAAAAGTTGTATGTATATTGCAAAAAGATAGAAAAAAAAAAAAAAGAAAGATACAATTTAGTAGATTTTTTTTTTCATTTAAATATCATTAGAAGCAGTTATGAAATTCAATTATACTAAAAGGATTAATTGTACTAAATTTCTTAATCCATTCTTCTGTATAGTTAATTTTTTTAATTCTTTATTTTATCTTACTAATTGTTCTTCATTGCCAATTTTATCAGAATACTCTTTATTTGATTAGGAATTATTCTGTTTGACATTGTTCGAGTTTTTTATCCTATTCAGAAATGAACCTTGATTGACCATTCTATATTTTATGAGTCATCCATTGTTTAATGCTCTAACAGATTTGCTTAATGGCACATTCGATTTATGAACTCCTTTGTAATGAGGACTTAATTATTAGGCCAGTTTCGAAGATTTGTTTATTGTTTCATGTAATTAGTTTTACTTCCTCAGCTATTTAAGAAGGTAGATGAAATATTGTTTCAGATTAAATTTTTATGAAATATGTCAGCCTATTTCTTAGAACCTTTCTTCATGTAAACTACTGAACCTTTTAAATAAAACATCATCAATTCTGAGTCATGTCAATGTCATAAAAATGTTTATATCTAAGAGCAGTTCCAATTCTTTGTATTACTACATGAGTAAATTTACACCGATCTCGAACAATTTTTGCAGTTCTATCTGCTTTGGTAAACAGATTGATTGTATAGCTTTTGGGTATTTTTAATAAATCCTTTGCCAAGTAAACAACAATTCATCACCTTTTTATGAGTATTTTTCCTATTTACTCTCAGCTTTAATTAGTTTATTAAAATCAGATTTGTCTTAGAACGTCAAATCCATAAAAATGATTTTACTATTCAAACGTTTTGCATTTTTTTTCATTATTAAAACTTTTTTTTTAAGGTATGAAAGGTGTTAAATTGTTTGTTTTTTTGCTAGAGGTAGTTGTAAATAAAACAGGAATATTAAAATCACAAGTTTTTAAAATAAATGTTTAAGAGGAACTATCAAAACTTTTAATTTGAATATTTTTGCTAAAATATTTAACGATACTCATATTATTGAATTCTTTCTCCCCCTCTCAAATCCTATATATTATTTCTAAAAGGTGTTTTTTTGTCGGTACGCCATAACTTCGTCAATTCTTCATCAAATCCAATGATGGACCACTCATTTTGAAGATCTTCTTCTTCGTATGCGAACAATAATCCTATCTCCCTCGAAATTTCTGGAAAAAAAGTTATGAAGAAAAAGAAACCTTATTCGCAAACAACTCAAAAAGTATGCATTTTTTTTCTCGATTGAACCCCTGATAATTAGAAAGATTTCTAAATTACCTACAAAACAAAAACAAAAAAAAAATCGGACAATTATTAACAAAGATATAGTACATTAGTTTTGGTATATTTAATAATGTCTACCTCTTTAAAGATATTGCATTTAGAAGTTGAATAATCTACTATACTTTTTTTCCTGGTTGATATATTAACTTTATTATTTCTTAAAGGTATTTGATTGTTCTTACATTTTATTTTTTTATGAATTTAGAAAATCCCATGATCGAGACATTATTTTGACTTTATTACTTTTATTATCTTTCCAGTTAGTGTTTAAAAATAGGTCCTGTATAAGCAATTTGTACAAATATTTTGGTCTACTATGTTAAATGGAATATTGTGATCGACCAAGGAAAAAATATTAATTCCTTCCTTACATAATGCATAGGATCTACTCATTTCCGTATTGTTTTTCTATGTCTTCACAAAATTTTCTGTGAAATATTCGCACGGGCCAACTAGTATAATATATTTGAATTATAAATACATTTGACAAATTAAAACTGATGATGGTTAGAGTTGAAAGGTATTTGAGATGGTATTTTTATAAACAAAGCAATTTTTCCTTATGCATAAATAGTCTCTATTTAGTAATTTTACATTATGTATTCAGTTGTTAATTTTTCTTCTCTGTTGTAAACGTTTAACAATTTCATTCTTAAAAATTTACCTGAATTTTTTTCTATAATTTTGCATATACATTTTTCTATTAAGTACAGTTTTATCGCATGTTATTATTTGCTTTTATCGTATCATGAGATAGTGTATTCCTTATTATTTGGAGTACTTTATTTTAAAAGCAGTATTTCCATTCAAGTATTAATTGCATGAATTTGCTTTTCATAGTTAATTAAATGTCCTAGTAAAAGTAAAATATGTTGCATGTGGATGCAAAAATTGATTGTGTACATGGTGACCTGCATTTTTATTTAGTAAATTGATCTATTTACCCCCCACTATCCTAAATATTCAAAGTGCTTTGACTTCACTTTTGATCGTAAAGTTGGAATCGATACTGATTAATCTATCATAACGTGAATAATGAATTATAAGTCCACTTATTTTCACAATTTTAAATGTTATGATTAATAAAAGATATAATTTTTAAAATTTTACTGTTCAGTTAGTTAATTCTTCTGTTGAAAATCACAATTAGTGTATGGTTATCATTAGGAATAACTACTTAATTGTATTATTACATTTTTTTATTTATAAAGAATTTAATTTAAAAATTGGGTTCTTTCTCCTATTTATTAAGCATTTAGTTTGCAAAAAAATAGAGCTAATAAAATCATAAGAAATTATCAATGTACATTTTAATGTAGCTGTAATTTATATTAAATTTTAATAATAATTTGTTTCAAGCATTTTTAAGTATATTTGAGTCAAAGTATGAAGTTGTTGAGAAAAAGTATGTAGGTGTAGAGACTAAGTTGTCCTTTAGATTGATCTGGCGGAAATTTGGTATCTGTCTTAAGTTAATAATCTTAATCTTATGTTAATAATTGATTCTAAATTTTTTTAGGTTGTAAAAATGATCTAAATCGATACTAAATTTTCAAAATATAATTACATATTGGAAACTCTTTCTCCAATCTGGCACTTCCTCTTCTGAAATTCGTTTTATTTTCAAATTTCAAATTAAATATGAGGTCATGTAGTTTATTTTACAAACCTTTTTAAAAATTGATCAGGTAGGCCTAGTATGAAATAAAAAAAATCACCAAAATAATACTTATGCCAAGAATTAGTACCTAACCGGACAGTTCAATTTTTATTCAGAATAGTATTCTATGAAGTTTTAATCCCAAAATTTCTGAAATCAAATGAAAATTTTGAATCAGACGTTTCACATTTCAAACAATTTAAATTTTAAAAGCAACTCTAGCGACAATGAAAATTGTAACAATTGTTAATTGTCTGATGAGCATTTTTCGTAGAGTTTGACTCCATACGATGTTAGGTTTTTTTTTTTATCTTTTTAAGTCAGATTATTAAGTAAACAGACATCCTAAACGTTACAAATCAAATCTATTAATTATTTATTCTTTTTTTTTACAGCTTTAGGAGGTACAATTTATAAAAAACAAAATCAGTTATTATTAAGTTATTTGCCTTAATTACCTGAATAAAAATATTGCTTTTATTATTTAGGAGTTTTTTAAAAGCATTAATATGTTTTTGTAGAGCTTAAATTTTAGGTATGATAAGTATTAATTTGCTTTTTAAAGTATTTAGTTTTATCATATATCCATATTAACAGTTTGGAAGAAATAAATAGCTTCACTTGTTAAATGTGTTATAGTTTATGAAGACTGTGGAGAAAAATAATCATATATTCATTCCCATTGGATAAGTACTAAATTAAAATATAGTAATTATTTAATTTTTGCCGACGTTTCGACCCACTTTGCAGGTCCGTCTTCAGGGCTACAAAAGATACAAAACATGTTGAAAATAAAAAATAAATATAAGTAGGTATAAAATAAGAAGTTGTCAGATACAGAAATAAAAAGATGATATCAGAGATATAGTGGGTGACAATATAGTTAAAATGTTAAGTATTACATGTGTAGAAGATACAAACAAATGGAAAATAATTATGAATAAAAATAAAAATAAAGGAGAATATAGCATGTAAGTTAAAAGTAAACAGATTGCGATAAAAGATAAGGAATAATTGTATAATAAACTAATAGAGATTACATTAGATAACTGTGGGTTAATAGATAAAGAAAAGAATGTTAACGAATAAATAGATTGAAAATTGAATAGGTATTGTTATAGTAAAGTTAAAATAAGAATAAGATAACATGTTATCTTGTTATAGTATTGTTATAGTAATGTTAAAATAAGAATAAGATAACATGTTATCTTGTTATAGTAAAGTTAAAATAAGAATAAGATAACATGTTATCATTATCACCCACTATATCTCTGATATCATCTTTTTATTTTTGTATCTGGCAACTTCTTATTTTATATCTACTTATATTTATTTTTTATTTTCAATATGTTTTGTATCTTTTGTAGCTCTGAAGACGACCTGCAAAGTGGGTCGAAACATAGGCAAAAATTAAATAATTACTATATTTTAATTTAGTATTTATTTGACCGCACCCCCCGATTAACTCCTTCTCAAAAGAAATTTTCTAGTGAAAAAAACAAACAAAACAATTCCATACCTGCTTTTGAAATTATCAAGCCAACCTTACTGTTATTAAAATCTGCTTTGTCATACTTTAAAAAATTTTTTTTAAAAATCTTTGAATTTTCAGCTAATATATCTCAGAGAATTGAACGCCCTTGTGATCTCACGTATAAAGAGATACCTCAAGTTCTAGACGACCTGGTAGTTTGAATGTTTTCCGTTTAGAGACATCACAATACTATTTCGGCACTACCACACGAAATAATTCCAGTTATATGTTCTGAGAAACAGAGCTATTTTCATTCCATTCCTCTTCAGTCAACTTTAGCTTCTTTTTTACTTGTTTGAATTACCATAGGTTGAGATTATCGAGACCGTCCTGTATATTCAAATGAGTATACTCCTTGTGCTATAATTTTATTCTGAATATTAATAAATTATATTGAACAGCATTTTATTAAAGACGATTTTTAACATGGAAATTACTGTACGGGAGTCTTTCTCGATGTTGAACAGGCGTTTGATAGAGTTTGGCACCTGGGACTGCTGTACAAACTTCGAAAATTGCTACCATCTGCATACTTCCTCATTATCCGTTCCTACCTTGCTGATAGATACTTTAAAGTAAATCACAACAATGTCTATACATCCTGCTTTTCCCAGTCTGCAGGTGTTCCTCAAGTTAGTATCCTAGGTCCTATCCTTTACACAGTTTATACAGCTGACATCCCAACACTGTCATCACCACATATGCTGATGACACATGTATCCTATCAGTTAATAACGACCCATCTATTGCATCCCAAACCCTTCAATCCCACATCATAACCTTGAAGAATGGTGTCAGAACTGGAGAATTAAAATAAATTCCAATAAATCCCATCAAATTACCTTCACCCTTCGTCGTAAACCAATGACTTCCTGTCCTTCGGTATCTTTTAACAACATCTCACTTATTCCTGTTGAACAAATCCGTTACCTAGGACTCCATCTGGACAAACGTCTAACTTGAAATCCTCATACCAGACTGAAACGACAAGAAACAGCTCGACGTTTCCGACTACTTCAAAGCTTACTTGACAAACGCTCTAACCTCCCAATTAATTATAAAAGAATCATTTACATAACTATAATAAGGCCTATTTGGACTTATGGAGTTGAGCTATGGGGCTCCACCAAACCTTCAAATTCCTCTCGCATCCAATCCTTACAATCCAAAATCCTTCGTAAAATCCTTAATGTTCCTTGTGTATCAGATTTGGCCCAATCCAGATATCTGTTCTTCCATAATAAACTTCATAATCATCCCAACCCTATTGTTTCTAACCTTGCTTCCTATTCAATTCCTGATAACTCTCCGAGGCGTCTGAAAAGATGGCCAAGTGATCTCCTAATATAGACATATTACTAGAGTGCTACCAATGGGTAGTTTCTCAACATGTGTTTCATGTCATTATATCCATGTGCGAATTTACCAGATGTATTTTTTGTATACAGTTGTAAATATCATATAAATAAATAAATAAAAATAAAAAAAAACATGGAAATTAAAATGTTTGGGATTTCCTCCTCCCCTCTTCACCCCGGTTAGCTCCTATCTTTCCATTTCTTGCATATGTGGGAGCTGTTCTAGAGGTGCAACCAAACATATTCTAACCAGAGGGGAAGGCCTAGATTTATTCTGTGGGTCCCCCATGAAATAATTTCGAACTGGTATTGCTAGACGCAAAAATGTCGAAGTTTAAGCTTTAACACAGTATCACAGACTAACACAAAGCTGACAAATGTAAAGGATTTCCATAGACCTCTATGTCTAATCAGATTAAAAACTAAACTATAAACAAACATTTTATTTAATTGCCACACTACTGTAGTGTATGACTTGTTTGGAATAAACATTCATAGATAAATAGTTGCAGTAAGTAAGACGTATCAAAAACATCAATTAAAATTTTTAACCTTATTTACTCTTAAAAGTTTGTTTAGAGTCTCTTATATAGATGGCTTTACATGATAACGATATAGCTGACTTTTTAACCATAGTTTATTTGTATATTTTATTTTAATCCTTTATATGATAGCTTGCTAAAATCCTTCAAATAAGTTTTAAATCTATTTCTATCCATTATATCATGCCATCGATATGTTCTCATGTTATTCTGTGATTCATTTCATTAAAGCTTAGTGACTAGTTCGTTTTTTACTTTATCGATGCTGTGGTTTTATCTCAAAGTCTATATTTATATTGGTTTTATATTTATATTTCAACAAATCAAGTTATAATTCTGTGTCGTTTCTGCGTTTAAAAATTAAACTGATGCTCCTCTCTTAATAAATTTGAAAAGTTCATTTTTACATGTTACTATGTGCACTATCAATATATTTCAATTGAAGAAGAAAAAAAAGATCAATTACTATTTGAAATTAATGATAAATGTTTAATTAAATTATTATCAAATTAATTTTTATAACTTAACCATTTTTTTTTTTTTACTATATCACATTATTATGTAATTATTAAATTTAGAATACAGCTTTTATTCATCGTTATAATATATTATGTCGTAAGCATGATTAAGAACCCGATTACTCTATAGATTTTGATGATCTGGAGTCTACGGAAATAGAGTCTTTAATAACTGACGAGTCCTTTATGGAAGAAAAACCCAAGAAAAACCGTAAATCTAAACTGAAAAGGGTGACTAAAAAAATACGCCATGATGCTGAAAAACTCCAAATAAGTGCTATGCATGAATGGTTCATGAAGGCTATTGGAAACGACTCCAATGTCTCCTTTGAAAGTACAGAGAGATCCAAAAGTAAGTATAAATTAGTAAAAAAAAAAAAAAAAAGATTAAAAAAAGAAAGAAATATAAAAATAATATGGTGATATGGGATTTAGAAGGTTATTTTTTCACGGTTAAACACCTTATCCCACCACAACTGGACAAAACCAGTGGAGACTTTAGCATATAACACTTGCATTTTGTTTAGTCAAAGCTTACTAACTGTATTCCTCTCTCTGTCTTCCATAAAACATGTCAAATTAAATTATAACCTTTCATGTTAACAGAAAGTTTATACTTTTTATTGATATCTCACTAATTTTTTTTTTTTTTTAAATAATAAAATTTTGAAGTGTGTTGTTTTTTGCATGACTGTTTTTACCACAGTGACGTTTGTTTTATTCAGAACTTTGCATGAGCTTTTCTCTGTTGTTTTAATTATAGGTATCTTGCTAGGGTTTGATGAAAAGGCTTTGTGTGATTCAGCTTGTATAACTTTTAATATTAACATTTTCTAATATTTCTTACTAATTCTGAATGGGTGTGCTATTAACACATTATTATGTAGTAGTTATTTTAAATATTCAAAACATGTTGTCATTTTGTTAGTAACAAATTTTAGTCATTATCAATTCAGACAACAATTTATCAACTAGTATTTTTATTTATTTTTCATGATTCTATTTCACTATAATAATTTTTTTTTTCACTAGCATTAAAAGTTCAATTTTTAAGATACATTTATCTAATTTTTGAATCTATGCTATTCTGATATTTGACATTGTTAAATATAAATGTATCTTTTATTATTTACTAACATATTGTTATTTGGATGTCTTTAAAAAAAAATAGTGTTTTTACATAAATTTATTATTCAAGGTGTAAAAAAGAGTATTGTAAATTTATAATAGTCCATTCTTTTAAACATTCCTTGGTTTATTTGATATTATTTAACAATAATTTAAAAACAAAAACAATTAATTTTGATGTTTTTTATTTTTTGTTTTTTTTATGAATCTCTTATTCTCATTCAAGAACACATCGCAGATATTTATAGTTGCTTATGAAGATGGTGTGAATTCATTTTGGACTTTTAAAATTTGACCTCCATATTATCATTAATTAGATTTGGCCTTCAAATTCAATAATTAAAATATTCATTTTAAGACTTCTTGATTTTCCTATTTTTGTATGTTCTTTCATAAAACCCTCAGATTCTCAGGTCAATAAAAAAACGTAAATACAACAATTAATAAATAGGGAAAAATATTTTCCTATTCATTTTTTTAATATTTATCTTATATAAATATTAAGATATTTTTAAACATCTTAAATAAAATTTTTGGATAAAAGATCTTCATCATGAAGAGTATGTATACTTAATGAATACAGTCCACTATTAATTAATATTAAAACCTGTACCACTACAGCCCATGAAGGGTCTTGGGTTCAGTATTATTTAGGAAAAGCACTGTTTCTTGGTCTACAGTTGTACAAGAAGGTGATTTAGGTGATTTGACCAAGATCACTCTCAACCGCCAGTTTTTTCTCCTTTATTAATTATTATAATTAAGGGTACCCACTTTATAGAGGCTGGGTATGCTCCAGGAGGGGAGGCCTCACGACCAATGAATCAGAATAAATAATTTTTCTGCCATGAGCTGGGATTCGAACTTGGGACCTTTAGCATTAGAAGCTCAGTACCCTACCACTGAGCTACCCCACTCCCATTAAAATTAATATTACTATATAAAATCACTGAAATTTGTCTTCATTGAATTGTTCTTATGCCTCTTTTTTTAATCCAGCTCATGAATACCGCGGTTTGCCAGGTTCAGAAGTTGACAGTTAACTAATCCAAGATTTGGTGGAAAACAGTTCTCATACTGATAATTCAGTTATTGATTAAGTTTGTTTACTAGGAATTAGAAATTGCCCTTGATTTTCTTGAAAATTCATCAAATCTATGTCGTAAAGGCCTTTAAGAGGATTCTATTTTTTTTTTTTTTCCGATTTTAAATATTTATTTTAATAATTCTTTTTTGTTATTAATAAAAATTTACTAACAGTTACACATATACTCATGTTACTAATTACTAAAAAATAACAGTTTTATAACGTGTTTGTTTATGAAATATAAGTTGTTATGTTACTTAATTTTGCCATAATATAACGTCCTATCTGGTTGTATCAAATGAATGTCAAATTTTTGGACAACATTAATAAAACATGAATATGTGTAATACAATTTTATTAGTGAATTGAAATATGCTACTTGGCTTTATTATTATTATTCTTTTGGTGGCTGAAAGCAAATGAATTTTTATTAGACATTTTGTATTGCACTATGAGGTTGCTTACTACGTTTTTTTTACATTCGACTAATAGGAAAATGGCCCATGGTTTTGAAATGAGGTAATTGATCACTAAGTAGTGAAAACGTATCATTTTTAAATTTACATTTTAGGCAATTAGGCTTCCTTAAAACTTGAATATGTTTCATTTAGTTAAAAATAGAGAATGCGAAAGATATATGTTTAGAAAACTCCTCCTTTTATGTTATTATTTTTTATTCTAAAAGCATTATGTGACAACTAGAAATAAGTTATATGACAAAAAGAGTTAACGTTATTACCAACAATTGTTCTGAAAATGAACCAGAGTACGATACTCTGAAATTTTAATGTTTTAACGTGTTTTTTTTTTAATACTAAAATATAATTATGTAGAAATTCTAGTTGCCTAAAAACTAAATCTAATTTAACAAAAGAGCCTGCTTGGAAAATTCAGAAGATATAATGTTAAAACCTTTAATGTTTCGAGGTCATTCTTCAAATCAGTTAGTGTTAAAAATGACTCGCAAATTTGGTATTAAATAATTTCTGTATTTGCCAATATTTTATTGGTGTCAGCTCTAAAACTGGCATTTTATGTGACGCAACCATATACTTATGCTTGTTTAATCTTTTATGTTGCTTATTGTTTCGTTCATGTCAATTCATTAACCTGAATTTTTTAATTGAAATTATTAAAAAATATTATGTTAAGTTTTTATATTGATCAGAACTATATAGTTTTAAATGGCTAACAATTTCTTTTATCACCTGATTTACTACTTGTGTCATCTCAGCTGATAATTCAATAAGAATGATGTAATAATACACTGAGATGAAAAAAAAAAAAAGGCGGCCATGTTTTACTTATTATGGTTTCCAATTCATTAATTATATATATATTTAAAATACTTTACAGTAAATAACAGAGCTTTTATTAAAAAAAGCTAGGAATATAATTAAAAAGATAAATTGATGGAACTTATCCTGATTTTGTGTTTTTTAAATCTTTCATTTGAAGTAGAATCAACCAATTAAGGTTTTGAATATAAATTCTTGTAATGTGTTTTTTTTTTATTTAATAATTTGACCAAGTTTGGAGATATTTTCGATTCATATTAAAAAATTATCCAAAACCTTGATGAAAAATTTGTCGCTTTATTTTTCTCTCATTGCATTATAAATCTCAGTGTGTTATTGTCTTAAAAATATTGATTACCAAAATTTTCAAAAAATATTTTTTTTAGTTACAATATACATAAAAGTAATTCATTATAAAATAATAAAAGTTCCATTTATTAATGCAAGCCATTTCTTCATAAAATTTAAGATTCAGATTTTAACATTTTGGTCTGTAATTTCGTCTCTAATTATACTGACAAACAAAGAAATTTTTTCCATGCTCAAAAAAATATGGTATTAATATATTTTCGTTGAGCACAAAAATCAAGAAAAAATTGAAATAGCTCTTGTTTCTGAAACATGGTGGTATAGTGACTTTTAAATCATAATTTTTAGTTGAATGGAAAGTCAGTCTTGTTGTGCTTGGCCGTGTTGTGATAAGATTTTATTTGGAGTTTCTGCTGATATTGTGGTTCAATACTTTATTAAGATGGCTTCCATTTTAGAGATTATAGTCGAACAAAATGAATCATTGATCGATCTGAAATCTCTCAGATGTCTCCTTTCTATGAAATTGACAAAGAAGTTTGTTAAAACTATGAACCAGGAAGCAGAATCTTTCAAGTAATTTAAAGGAAAATTTACTGATTAATTTATGCTGAATTTAAGAAATCTTTGTTTGACCTCAACTATGTAAATTTTTAAATATAACTTTAATAGAACAATGAAACGAAAAGGAAAGGTAGCTTGAAAAGTGTTTAAAGTTTTTTGATAGATTCCTTAGCAATAGGAGATGCCATAACTTATTTCAGGTAGTCAAGGATCTACTCAAAATACCTAAGACTCAACGTATCGGTTGTTTCTCAAAATACATTTTGTCCACGCCCTTTTGGATTTTTTATTAATAAATGTGAACAATGGGGAGAGATTCCATCAAGGCATTTCTTCAATGGAGCGAGGATATCAGGGCCATTAGAAAGAATCAGGGCTAGGAGATTATTGCTGAACAGTCTATAGAGATTGCCCAGAATTGACTACTCATCAAATTCCATATGTATTTACAAAACAGACGATAACGATTCTATTGAAGTATTGTCAAGCAAGTCATTTTCCGTTTCTTCTAGAAAATCATGATCAGGCCCCATTGTCAGTTTATTGCAAAAAGTCACTAAATACATTTTTGATAAGGTTAACTTTCAAATATTTTTTTGTGAATTTCGACCTTATTTATTTATTAAAAGAACACCATAAGTGCATGAAGATAACGTACACCCTTTTATTTATCATATATAGTTACATTAAGTGCACTATTTTCTGATTTTACAAAGGGGAAAATCATCAAAGTTAATTATTTGATGAATTAATAAATATTATTTAATTAAGTTATGAAATGTCACTTAATAACTTTTTTTTGCAATTAATAGACGATATTTTGTCTTGGAAACAGAAGCTAAAAAAAAAAATGATCATATTTATTTTTCTGGACTCAAAATTAGTAAGGTTTTTTTTTTTCATTGGGCTAGAAACATTCAGAATAAATTTTTCTGTTGGTCAGTGTAATGAATAAATTATAGTCTTTTAAAATTGTTATTGATTTTATTTTTTTAAATAATCATTGAAATAACTTTATTTAGATGTTTTGTTTTTACAGTTATATGCACATGTAGATATTGTACATGAATATTGAATGTTAGTCAATGTTTATTATTAATCTTGTACTATTCATCTATCATATTTGTTTAAAATTTAAAGATGGTGGAAATTCGGTAACACAGTACAGTGTTGGAGCTTTGACAGTGTTAGCACAGCTATTGGCCCCATTGTTGGACGTTGCCTTTGGAAACCAGGAAAAGGAAAGAGTTGTTACACTACTGATAAATTTGATGTACAACGTTACACCTTATCTTAAGAACCATACGTGAGTATTAAGTCACTACCGTGCATTATTTGTTTGATATTGATATGGCTTATTTTTTCATTAGCACCATTTATAAATAATAAACTCTAGGCTGGCTACAGTGGTAGAGCTATTCAATTCCAGACTCTACAGTATTAGGAGACAGTTCGGTCAACACTCTTCCAATCAAATTATATTTGATGCTGATGTTTTTGTTTTATGTGATCCCATGAAGCATCTTTCAAATAGTGGATTATACATTTGCTATAAGTTCTCGTCCATGACTTTTTCCTGAAGCCTCCTTTCATGAAACCTCTTAATTGATTTTTGAGGAAACAATCGTCAGAGTTAAAATATAATAAAAAAAATAAAGGCTAAGGCTGTTTATTAAATTTATATTATATTACAAATATTCCTGTAGCACATTATAACATACTTCAGCTGGTCTTCATAGTTCGTTCAAAACATTTGCAAATTTAATAATAAAACGAACAAACAGCTTGCCTTTTTTTTTTTTAGTTTATTTTAGTTTTGACAAAGTAATGTTGAAATTTATTATGGGAAATATAATGAAAAGCTATATTAGATAGATAGATAAAAGCGTTTATTTGTTTATAAAGTATATAATATAATTTTTTTTTTTTACATATAATTAAACGATTTATCAACAATGAACTAATGTTCGTCTGTCAGGATGTTCGCCTAATTTATTCATGGAAATATCTTATCTTTTAAGAATTCACAGTTTAATATAACAAGATCCCAATTGCAGTATTATCTGCTTAATTAAAAAAAAAAAAATCTTAATTTTAACTAAAAATTCTTTCTAAATATAGAAATATAAATATACCTACATAATATACAAATATACATGAACATAAACATAGATACCTCTTATTCTAAATTATATTCTCTCACTAATTCACCTTTATAATTAGTGGATGTTCTTTAATACAAATAAAGATTTCTGTAGTCTGGGCCGTTTAAAATTTTTATCGTTTCCATAAAATTTAGTTGATGCATACCTAAAAATGCTATTCTAAAACTCTTTTAGTATTGGGCATACCGATATAAAATGAAAGTTATCTACCGGTGCATTAATATTGCACAAAGAACAATTTCCCCTTTTATCCTGCCACGGCTGGTGATTTAGATTGAAGAGTTCCCCCTTGCTTTAAAAATTAGCCGAATGAAATATAAATTGTAATCATTCTGCCTTATTAAATTGTAAATTTCAACTCCTTCAGCAGATCTTTTTTGGTGAAAGAAATGTCACATTTTGTTCCTATCCTTCGCAATGCCCTCATCCATGTTATATTCTTTTCTATGACTAATTTAGCTATGACATGTGGGAGTCGTTGGTGATCCATTTCCAACACTTTTATTATATACTCGATGTGCAACTTTAAAGTATAAATACACAAAGTAATGATGGCTATATTAGTAATATTGCTCACATACAAAAAATGAAGGAAAAGATTTTCCTTGATTTCTGGTATCTTAGTTATTAGTTAATCAAATTGTTTTAAAGTATCCCAAGGTTCATGAAAATTATTTTATAGATTAGGAATACGAATTTATAACACCATCGAATATATATGAGCATTTTTGTGATTCAAACATGGTTAAATTTGACTCTTTAGAACATTTATAAAACTTTATATATATATATATATATATTTTATTTATTTTTATTTTATTTTATTTTATTTTTTTTTTTTTTTTCCCCTACGTGGTAACCCCACACAAGGATCGTTTATTTGATTTTCCTTCATGCTCCATGCCTTAAAGACATACTACATGAATTACATTTGTTTACAATTGTTTGTTTTTTCTAGTTTCACATGATTTACATTTTTAGTTCAAATTTATATACATTAACAAAAAAAAACACAAAGAATAAACACACAAAAATTAAATCGGAAAATTAAATATTAAACACACAAAGTCAATCCAACAAAGCCAAAAAGAAATCACCCACGCTGCCCATCCCTGGTTAGTAAGTCGAAGTCGATCGATCTAATAAATCTAAGAAAGTCTGTCTTGAATTCATTAAATAACTTTTGTTCCGTCTCAGGCCAATTTCCTCTTTTGATAATTATGCTTTTTATTAACTCAAATCGCTGTCTGTCAAATCGTTTACATTCATATATTATATGTTTAAAATTTTGAACCTGTCCGTCTTCATCACATAAGTCTGTTTGTATAATGTTGAATCTTTTAAGATATTGTTTTGTATTCCCATGTTCCGTAAGTACTTGCGTAAGTTTGTAGTCATTACTGTGAATGTGTCTGTAATTGTGAATTGAAATGTGTGGTATAAATCTGTGTAAGCTTGGTGACTTAGCTGAGGTCACCCATATGTGATCCCATCTTTTGATGAAATCCAACTTTAAATTCATATTAATATACGATGAAGGAGCTTGATGATACGATGGCGGCAAATCGCTTTTAGCTGCTTCTTTTGCAAGGCAATCGGCTCGTTCATTGCCCTCAATCCCACAATGTGCTTTTAACCATTTTAGAGTCACTACTTTCCCTACAGTTCTCATCATTAACAATTTGTTTCTAATTTGGTCAGTCAAGTAATCATGAATGTCCCAATTATTAACAGAGTCTAGCAGAACTTTGTTGTCTGTATTTATAGTAACGTGAGTATTCGTTTGTAGAGGGTATTCATATATGTATTCAGTAACCTTTAAAACAGCGAATTTTTCTGCCTGATTATTTGAGCAATATGATTCTAACTTATATTGATGTTCTATATTCCTACCATCTTGAGCTCTGAACAACCATGCACATCCAACATTCTCGCCGTCCTTACTTCCATCAGTGAAAACATCAGTATTTTCAGAAGTAATTCCCGGTCCAGTCCACAAACTTGTTGCAGGGTGTAACCAAGATTTACAGTCAGTAATTCTTTCTATTTTGTCTAGGGTCAGGTCTTTATATCCTCTCTTTCCTTTTCTAATGTTATATAAGGTCGTTCGTTCTTCAATCTTCATTTGGATTGGCAACAGCCCTGCCAATAATATTGTGGCCTCGAATGATAGTGTACGATAGCCCTTACATATCTTAATCGCAATTAACCTCTGAAGCCTTTCCAACTTCACCAAATTTTTCTTACGTTCAACGGCCGGATGCCAGACATGCACAGCGTAGAGCATCTTAGGAAGTACAGCAGCTTCATAAATTTCCTCTAACACTTCCGATCTGAGTCCCCATGTCGCTCTTGCAGCCACTGATAGTCCATTTATAATCCTTAAAGTGTTGCCATATAGATTATCTATATGTCTGTTCCAATTCAGTTTTCTATCAAAGAGAAGCCCCAAATATGATAATGTATCACATTGCGTTATTCTTACTGTATTGAGTCGAATATCCAATTCTGGTACAATTCTCTTTTTTGTGAAGATTATATATTTTGTCTTGTCTAGATTAAATTTAAGTTTGTTGCGTCTAGTCCATCGTCTCAGCCTTGATAATGTTATGTTTGCTATTGTCTGTAATTCATCGAAATCTCTTCGTTTTATAAGTAATAATAAATCGTCTGCGTATGCTAATAATGTTGAATTTTCCTGTAGGTCTATTTCGAAAACAGTATTGATTAAGATGTTCCATAGTATAGGTGATAGTGCTGATCCTTGAGGAGTTCCTAGCGTCAATTTCTTGTCAATATAATGAAAGTTTGTTTGGATTGCAAGTTTTCTGTCAGAAAAATAATTTTGAATGATTTTGTATATGTTTTTTGGACATTTATATTTCTTTAGATTATTTAAAATCGCAGGCCACCAGGCGTTGTCAAAGGCACCCGCGATATCCAAAGAAACAACCAATAAATTACTATTTTGCCGGAGTGTACTGGTGATATGGTCGTTCAATTCACTGAGTGCATCGTCAGTTCCTGATTGGGGTCTGAATCCAAATTGGTGTCGGTGGAGTATATTGTTACTAAGTAGATGATGCATTAATCTATTTTTTATTATTTTTTCAAAAATTCTACTCATTACAGGAAGCATACTTAGTGGTCTCAGTGAAAATGAATTAGCCTTAGGAATCAATGTTAATTTACCCACCTTCCAGCTTTTAGGAAATTCATTTCTTTTGAATAAGGTTTTATAAAGTCCAGTTATCAATTTTGGAAAGGAGTCAGCTATCTTTTTTATCATTCTTGGGTCAATTTTGTCTATTCCTGGTGCTTTCTTGTCATCCAATTTATTAATAACTTGTAATATTTCAAAATCCCGGATATTAGTGTCATCGTCATTATTAGGCGGGATAAGTATTTCTGTTCTCATTTGTCTGTGTTCGTTAGTGTCATCACTTGTATTGTCATCTTTGATTATCTTATTTAATATATGAGATAATGTATTCTTAGTGTCTGTTGTGTATGTTCCTAGTTCATTCAAAGTGGTAGTGAGTAAGGTTTGAGGTTTTATTTTATTGGATACAAACTTATATGGCCATTGCCACGCCTTTGATGCAGTAGCAAATGTCTTCCAGGACTTTAATTTGGAACTTTTAATTAGCTTTTGATATGCTTGCCTACTTTTGAGATAGATCACTCTCCTTGATTCCCTTAGTCCATAGTCTTTTGTCCGCTGGTAATTTCTTCTTAGATGATTTGTCTCTTTACGCAAGCCAGTTAGTTCAGGGTTCCACCAAGGTACTGATCTTTTTCTAGTTCGACCTTTGAAATGGCCGGATCTTTTGAATGCTATATTGCAAGATTTTATGATAGATTTTATCATTTTATTTATTATAATATCAGTAGGCATAAGAGAAAACTCATTAAGAATCAGCTTTTCGGTATCATAAACTGTCAATTCCTTCTTATCAGTACAATGTTGAGATAAAAACTGTTTTTCTAACTGATTTATTAAGTTAGCCAAGAATTTATTCCAGTCACCATTCTCTGTCAAATATATATAGTTTTTTGCTAGCACTCCAGTTTTATCATTTCCCTGTAAATGTAACTCATAAGTCAAAATGTTGTGGTCCGAAAAATTTGTTTCTCTAGAAATTGTCCAATTTTTTACAATATTATGTCTAATCAGTTTTGTATTAGATAATGTTAAATCAATATTACTACTGCCTCGCGGCCCTTGGAAAGTCATTAGTTCGGAATTTATATTCATTAAGAACAAATCTTTCTCAACAATAAAAGTTTCCATATTTTTACCCCTTTCGTTAGTTTTTTTGTCGAACCAATATTTAGATCTTGCATTGGAGTCCAATCCAATAATGATATTAGAATCTTTGAAATAATCCAAAACGCGTTCTATGTTTTGTAAATCCAAATTTATGTTTCGGGTGATATCAAAATAAGCACATATTATTATACATTTTAATTCACTGTATGATATTTCTATGCAAACAAAATCACAATCAGAATGTTGCAATATCATGCAGGCATCAATGTTTTTATTGGTCACAACGACTCCAGCCCTGGGATTGCTTCCTATTGTTTGAAAAACCTTTGACTGATTATAACCTACAATTTTATTTAATCTTGTATAAGGTTCTTGGATTAATAAAACGTCTATTTGTTTCATTTTTATATACTGTTGTAGCATGTTCAATGTGCATTTTGAATGATGTGTGTTGAGTTGTAACATGTTTAATTGTCTATGTACTATCCTTAAAAATTAATTGTTTACAGTCCCCAATAATATTTTGAAATATGTATATATTATGGTTATTAATTACTCACTGTAGAGGGATGTTGTAGTTGGTATTAGATGCCAATTTCTGTATTTCTGTCAAGTACGACGGGCAGTTTCGGTCAAATACAGAATGTTCTGTGGGGCGCTTCTTTTGGCTTTTAGTGAACTTGTTGTAGTTTTGACAAATGATACATTTCATTTCTTGAGAAGTGCAGTCACTAGCCGCGTGTTGACCTCCGCAGTTCGAGCATGCTATCGTCCCTCTGCAATCCTTGCTTCTATGGTGAAATTTAAGGCACTTGGTGCACCTTCTTATTTGGAAATAATCCTGAATTCTCACCTTTTGATGTCCGAGGCTGATTTTATTATATAATAGCAATTCTCGAGTTCCCGCGTCAACCTCCAAAACAGCATGCCGACTACTATTCTTTCTTGTAGTGAGGATAATCACAGGTCTTATTTTATCCTTTTGTAAATGAATATCATCATTTTGAGCAGTTATGTAGTCGGTTATATTCTGTAAATTTATTTCTTCCTCAATGTTTCTCACAACAACACGAGGGTTCATTTTATTTATTTTATGGTATGATATTTTTCTTGAGCCTTTTATAGTTTGAGCAATTTCGTTGAGATCTTTCTCCCTGTCGGTCTGTATTATTAATGATCCGTTTTTTGTTTCTATAACCTTTTGAAAACTTATGTGTAAATCTTTTGGATTTACTAAAGACTTAAATTCGTTACAAAGTTCATTCGGTTCTAATGATATTTTAGGTTTAATAATTGCTTTATGGGCTGTTCGATTTTGTGCTTTCATTACAACCCTTTGGGCAACTGCTGAGTAACTAATTTTGTTATTTAAAGAGAGGTTGTCTTTTTTAATAACCTCCCCGATTTCCAAACTAAATGATTGGTCACAAAGATTATCTACATATTTTTCCATCTCTTCGATAACTTTTCCTACCTTCGGTCGCAGGTCTTTTCTCAAGAGATTGTAATCCAAAACCTCTTTTAAAGTCTTGATAGCGTAATTTAAATCCAATACTTCACCGGCCATTTTGCTGGAGACCTGCTTGTGATGAGACTGAGACAGAAGAGGGGGCTGACAGGAAATTTCTTGAAGATTTTAGCGATAACGGCTGCAAACTTCCAACGAAATACCTCTTCATGTATTCCTTCACAGCTGCTCTTACACTCTTCAGAACACCACCGAAATTTTTAAAAGCATTCCTAAATAGGAATTACATGAGTATACAAAAAATCACTTTTATAGGGAGTGTATAACTTAATAGGATTAAAAATGAACACAGACCCGAACTGACGTTCAATACTGCCAAAGTCAGACTCCTATATATATATATATATATATATATATATATATATATATATATATAAATGAATGTATGTCTGTTTGTCCTTTATGTATTACTAAACCATTCATCCCTATGAAACTTTGGGAAGTTGTTGCTAAAAATGTTACAATCAATCCAAAATTTTTATTGCCATTAAAAAAATAAGTAAACATTTTTTATTGATAATGCCCATACTTATTTGAAGCTTTCTGAATTCCCTACTAAATAAAAATTATAAAAATAACAAAATTGGACAATTCGTTGCAGAGAAATAGAGTTTTAAACATTTACTACTGTTTCTTCGGCAAAGGCCATTTCCCTGTTGTTTTGGTGTTTTTTTATTGATTAATTGAAAATTTTATAATTACTAAAATAATTGAGATTATCATTTGAAGAAGTGATATGATTCTCCTTATGTAACTATTATAGCTCTTTATATTCAAATTTATATTTTCCCCCCCAATTTATTCAGGATATGCTATTATTTATAAATAATAACCTTTAACCCTTGAGTAATAATTATCACCGTTTATATTCTTGTTTTCTTTTAGAAATCAGTTTTTCGTCGATGTAAGTTTATTTTATTTTTTAATAAATTATTTTCTTCAACATTACATTTGAATAAGGCCTTGCCGTTTGCCGTAAGGTTTCTTCTACGAGTAAGGTTTATTTTTCCACCACAATTTTCATAACTCTGTATTTAATCAAGTTGTTGTTGAAGAAGCGAGCAATCAAATACCTTAGGAGGATTATGCGAAATTTTTGAAGGAGTCGGAAGGCAGCTCTAATGCACACGAAATGAACGTTATTATATGCGGTATAGCGCAATTCCAATGCATTGCCACGTTTGATATTTGAAAATCTTCAACATTGAAACGGTATCGTAAAATATTTTGAACAGCATGTGTTGCTTTTACATCCAACTGATAGTGCATTTTTAATAAATATATATAGCTTTGTCTTATATTTTATAATAGTGGGTATATAAAACTACACGCATAATTGAATGCAACGTTAAGCCAAAATTTCAAGGCAATCGGTGAAGAACTTTCTGAGATTTAAGATTTTGAACAAACGATCATTTACATTTTTATTTACCATAAAATAACCCAACAAAGTTGACCATTAAACAATACATTAAATTTAAAAATTATTATAATAAATTAAACATGAAAATATATTGGCTATATTGGCTTCGTATCAAAGACGGATCTCTGTCATTTTCAGAAATCAGAGAAAAAGTCAGTTTTTGTTTATGGGTTCAATGCAAACTGTTTCTGATGATTTTATTTAAAAATATTCTAGTTGAATCATGAAAAAAAAAATCATTAGAATTTGTTTAAATTGCAGCTTAATTAATTAATGTTACAAATTTTTTTCTCAACTTAATAGCAATGACAGAGGGAATTCACCTATACTGTGGGGTACAGACATCAATGGGCGTTGTAATCCAAAGGTCTCAACTGACCCCTAACATAACCTCATCTTCCGGACATTATAAAAATGACAGATGTCCTTTGATATTTCCGCAGCCCCAAAATGTTAATCTTCATTTTTTTTTTTTTTTCATTTAAATATGATTCGTGGATTTAAATTATAGCAGTTTTTCATTAAAAAATAGAATAAATTGCTTTTATGGTAAATATTCAAATTAAATACCTGAATATTTTTATATTGTGGTGGAATAACTTTTATATTATACACTCTTCTTCCTAACAGACGGCATATTGGCCTGGATATGTCTGCTACACTTATAAAATTTTAGAATGTAAGAGGGTCCAAACAGCTTTTAAGTACTGTCTTGCATAAAAAACCTAAATTAAGATTTCAAATCCTAGGTATTTTAAAATAATAGTGTACTTTAAGTAACAGTTTTAATTTATAAATTGAAATTTCATTCTAGACCAAGGAATGCAGGAAGTTATTACGCATGCTCACAGTTGTTGGCAAACCTCAGTTCCTACCAGTACACGAGGAAGGCTTGGAAGAAGGATGCTATGGAACTATTTTTTGACCTTGCGTTTTTTCAAATGGAGTTGAGATCTCTACAGCATTGGCGTGTGATAGTAGATAATTTAATGTCTCAGGAAGACTCGACCTTTAGGGAGCTTATGAGTAATTAAACTGTTAATTAAAAAATAAATCAAATTATAATTGATTTTTTTTTTTTTTATTCAACATGATTTATTTATATTTAACCCGATTTATTTATTCTTATTTCAGACAGAATATCGGTAGCTCCAGCAAATTCTCTCAATATATTCTCCAGTAAAGACCAGGAAAATGAGCAAAGAGCGCAGCTGTTGAAACGATTAGCATTTGTGATATACTGTAGTGATACTGACCAGTTTTGTTCTCATATAAAAGAAATACAAGGTAATGTATATCGATTACAATTTAACAATTTAGTTGAGAACCCTTTGGAAAAGTTGCATAATTGCCTTTTTAATTTTTAATACAGTTAAGTGCATGACTGATTGCAATTTTGCCGATCTACAAAGTAGACCAGTGATGGACATAGCTAAGGAAATTTTTGGCTTATGCCATCGTAATTGTTATAGTTATAAACTTCTCCGCTGGACATTTAGAATCTCTAGGGTATCCTTTTTCTATTTAACACTTTAAAATTGAAAAAATATTCAGTTATGCAGGTATAATCACCATTTTAAAAAAACACCTTTTTGCACTAGTGATGGACACTCCAAAATTTCAATTGTTCAAGTAATGGACAGGGGGTTGGTACCAGTAATGGACATACCTCAGAAAAAATCTAAAATCTTTATCAAACTATAAAGATAACATAACATAAATAACATAAATGTTCAACTTTCTCTTAGCAAAACTGTTAGTAAGAAGATATGAAACATACTGATTTCAAGATCACTATAGAAACAACTGATAGGCATTCTAAAATTTTCTTTTAGGAAATTTATTCATACATTTGTTAATAGAGAGCATTGTTCTTCAATCTAGAAAAAACTGGAATCTTTAAATCAACAAGGAAGCTTATTATTTACATAAAGTCCAAACTGTCTATCACTTGGTCGTCCCCTGCCTATAACTGGTGTGTTCACCCTATCTATTCTGTCCACCTAGTGCTCCATTATAGTGTACAATCACCTAACTTCCAAACAAATGTTTACCCCTTTATGATGGTGCACTCATACACGAATCAAGATGGTACTGTGCTCTAGTGACGGTGGACTAATATATGAATCGAAAGCCTGTCTGGTTCTTTCTTTTTAAATGGCGTGGTGCTCAGTGATGAATTCTATTTTCAAACTATCTCGTGGCCATTCTATCAGTCGTATAAAACTAAAATAAAAAAGTTTAAACTTATGCCCTAAATAAAAAGGCTAAAATATTAAGTAGAGGTGATGAATAGTATTCCATCACAGGGACACGAAGAATTGTCAGCAAATGCTATCCTCAAGGTCACCCCTTTTGGTCAACTGGGCTATGGAGATAAAAAGATATAGTTAGGAAAATATTGTTCAAATTACAAATAAATAAAAATGTTTCATCTTTTAAATAATGATTAATTGATCCATTATTCATTGATAAATAAACTAGTTAATGTTACTTTGTTCATTGTATTATTATAAAATATTTATTTAATAGAAATAATTGTATTGAATTATGGATAATTCTATATCTATATTTTATTATTTTACATTTGTGGTTATAAAATAATGTCTATTTTTTTTTTAATTTTACCAATTTTGAGATAGCACGTCCATGTTTCTATTTATTTTAACATATTGGAGTTCTTCTATATTCAGGATCTCCATTGGGTTAACGTAAGCTTAGGATTTTAAAATGCAGTTAATTTAAAGAAAGCGCATGAATGTTTTATCTTAAAATCGTCGTATTTAAAAAAAAAATACTTCTCTAATAGTATAATAAGGGAAATCCATTTATCGAAAAAATCTGAAAAGTCACAATAAATAGATATGTGATGGCAATGTCTAAAAATTTCGTGCGCGCATCACACGACTTTCACTTACCATCCTCTTAGCAAAAATAACAATTTTCAGACAAAAGGGAAGTGAAAGTAAAAATTATAGATACTATATTTATTTACATTTCATCGTGGGTATTTTTCTTTATTAAATACCCTTATATATATATATATAATATATAAAATATATATATATATATATATATATATATATATATATATATATATATATATATATAAGCAAATAGCAACAATAGCATTTATGAAAACTGCCTATATATATGTACATAATATTGTCGGAGTCCGTGTTTTATTAAGCTCATGTTTCAAATGGAAGCCTGTTGTAAACTTTTGTACGAGCTCTGGTGAGCTCGGGCGCACTCATATCCCTTTGGTCCCTCCATTACAACTATTATCCGTTACGATCTCTTATTACTCCTATAGTTAATTATCAAATTGTTTCATATTTTATATTTAACTATTTTTTTATATCAAAGATTAATGTGAAATGGTTAATTATTTCAAATAAAAAGAATTAAAGGTACTTCAGAGGAAGCTAATAATGAAAATTAGCCATTTAAGCCCTGTTAGAGAACATCAATGAAAAAAAAAAAAACTACATTATATTAAAAACTGCTTAATAATACACTGATATACTGATTTTCATCAAAATCGTTGAGAAAAACAAAAAATATGTCAAATCGATTACATAAAGTACCACTTCTGGTTTGCCAATTTTCACGAAAATGTTTATGTAACATCCAAGGCTTATAAAAACCCCAAATATGCAATTTCAATTTCAGACGACTTTTCGTTTTTGAGCTAGGCTGTTCACATACATACACACACAGACCATTTTGTGAGACTTGGTTATTTGGGCTCAGGGAACCTCAAAACGTGTATTTCTATTGAAAACTCAGATTCAAAAATTTTCACGATCGCAATACTTATCCTTACTATATATTTTATATATAGGTAAAGGAAAGTAAAAATCATTTTTACATCAAGAAAGTTTCAATTACATTATGTTTATTTGACTAAGTTTTGTTATTTATATTTCAATAGTGTGTTTTTTCATAGTTCATTGTTAAAATATAGTGTTTATTAATTGAACTGTTTGCTTTTAATTCTCCTGAATTTGTTTATTCAAAGTATAACGAGAACTTTTGGGCAAGTGTTCCGCACTGAAAACTTGTAAAGTACTTAAATACTGCTCATCTCTAATTTTAAATATTGTCAACATTCTTTTTTCATTTTATAATGTAACATATAATAAAAATTTACTTCTGCTTTCAGAAAGATTATCTGATTGTATAAAGATGCCGCAAATCGTGCCAGGACTAGAAGCCCAAGTTTTTCTATGCCTAAGGGTTCTTCTCTTAAGGATGACACCAGCTCATATAATCCCATTATGGCCGACAATCATCAGCGAATTGGTTCAAGTTTTGATGAATATTGAAGAGGAACTGTTGAGTGAGAGTGAAGAGATACGGTTAGTTTTCATTCTTTTGTGTTTTTTTTGTTACTACTGTATTATAGATATGTGGATTATAGATTATGTTGCTAAAGTATTTTCGTAATTTTAAATACATACTTGAAATCCTCGGGTCTTTTGCAGATTAGCACCACCAGTTATTTTTTAATAGTAACCTGTTATTTTACATGATTAAAGAAAAACATGATATCGAAAGCTTTAATTATAATTAACCTAACTCATATTTGGTTTTTAAAAGATTACTCACTTGGCCAAAGCTCTTTGATATTTAATTATACTGCCTTTAACAATTTTTTCTATTATCTCTTCTCCAACAAAGTCATCTTTTGTTGTTTTTTTTTTTACATGGACCAAAACATGGATAATTGCAGTTTTCTGCAAAATTTAAAGGCTTCCCACTAGTGGTTATTCAAACAGGAGTTCATTTTGCTTAATGCATCTGTTAACGGATTTTTATATAATAAAGGAATAACAACAATGATTCAAATATAACTGATACTCTTCTATAAGAGATAATTTTCCTGTTTAATAATGACTGGCAGGGCTAATCTGCAAAATACCCAAATTCTCTATTTCGAAAGTTCTCAAAAATTAATTTCTTTGCAGGAAAGAATCCGATAGTAATGGTTTGCTTTCGATGGGATGGCTTCAACTCCAGTTGGCAGCTGCTAATTTACTGTTTCTTGCCGTTCAATTACCAGCTGATAGGTTACCCCAGTTTCAGATGTATGTAAACATTTTATTGATTCTTAAATATAATGGTTTTTAAATTTCCAGTTTACAAACTCTTGTTTTACATGACTATTAGATATTGTATTTTATTTTTGAAGAGAAGAATGGTTTGGGTGATCTGTGGAAAAAAATAGTAAAAATAAATAACCCCCATACCAGACCGAAACGACTAGAAACCGCCCGACGTTTTCGAATACTCCAACACTTACTATACAAACGCTGTAAGCTTTCAATCAATTACAAACGACTCATATATATATGACAATAATAAGACCTATTTGGACTTACGGAATTGAGCTTTGGGGCTCCACTAAACCATCGAATTCCTCTCGTATCCAATCCTTACAATCCAAAATCCTTCATAAAACCCTCAACGCTCTTTACTTTGTCACAATCATCCATAAAGACCTTAATGTTCCATATGTTTCTGATTTGGCCCAATCCAGATACCTATCCTTCCATAACAAACTGCAGAACCATCCGAACCCTCTCGTTTCAAACCTTGCTTCCTCCTCGATCCCTGATAACCCTCCGAGGCATCTGAAAAGAAGATGGCCTCGGGACCTTCTAATATAGAACTTTAATTTGAGTTCTACCAATGGGTAGTTTCTCTTCATGTTACCAATGTCACATTTACTTGTTGTATTTTTCATGTAATACAGTTGTAAATTTCATTAAAATAAATAAATAAATAAGTATAATTTTTTTTATTTTTGCCGACGTTTCAGCCCAATGTTCAGGTCTTCATAGGAGCTGGTCAAACGAAGGATGTCTCAAGACTAATAGGTCTCACAACATCCTTTGTTTGACGAGCTCTAATGAAGACCTGAACTTTGGGCTAAAACGTCGGCAAATATAAAAATAAATATACTTATTTATTTTTAATATTTTTTTTTACTGATCGTCCCAACCATTCTTCTCTTCAATTATTCACTACAGTCAGCCATCAATACACAATTAAGTATTTTATTTTTGTTTAGCTTATTCTGTATTTTGGCCTTTATTGAAATTGTTTATTATTTGTAGGTATCGATGGGCGTTTGTTGGCGGTGATGTCACATCATCAAACAATAGTAATGCGAGTCCTGATTTTGTTCCACACGTTACCAGGATTGCCCAACTTATGGGTAAAAAGGTAATTGTATATGGCATTCGCTCGTCCGCTATGATTAGTTGAACAATATAATAATCATTGTGTATTTCTTTCTAGCATATTATATTTATTGTTTTATTTTTCTAGTATGGAAAAAAATTAGAAGCTTTACCTACTCCACTGCTTCCCACATGCACAAAAGTTAAAAGCCTCGAGGACTTATACCCATTCTTCACAGCATTAAGTACAGGAAAATATACACCACTGTCTGTTACTCAACTAGAGCACAACTTAGAACTCGATTTTCTTGATGTAATGCCTTCTGGGCGATAGCTGGACAATCTTATATAGGTAACGAGGAAGTAGCATTAATTAATATATTTTATTATCTTTTCTCTTTTCTTCAAGGTGTATGTTACCTAAAAACACTTACATTGTATTTTTATTAGGCAATTTCTTTTTGTAGTTATCCTAAAACTAAAAAAAAAAAGAAGAAAAAGATTATAAAGGGATTTATATAATAGCAATTAGATTTAAAGATAATAGTTTTGTTTATCCATTGATTTTATTTTTATGAAAACAGTATTAATGTGAATGGTAATTAAGAATTATATTAATTAACAAGTTTGAAGAAGGTTAGATTTGGTAAAATAAAATTCTGGGAATGACGTTTCAAAGGAGTAAAAGTTCAGCATAAACAATTGTTTTTTTTTTTATAAATGTTTGCTTTATCTTAATTTTTAGTTCTCAGATTTGTGCTTTTCACTCAGATTAATTGCTATTAAATTTCTTTTCTAATTAATGTTTTCAAAAACTTAATTACTGAATCAAAGGAAAGGTATTATATTATACTTCATGACATCGTATGTTAATTTATACAATTTAATAATAGTAGATAGTAAGCTATAGTATATTTCATATAGAGAAAGTTTTATCTTGTTTTTTTTTTTGTTTTTTTTAAAGACTTGAATTTTTCTCATCCGTACATTGTAAACTATATGTAATGATATATATTTTTGGCTTTCGTTTTTAGTTCCTGAGAATTAATTAGTTCTTGTAAGTAAATTATTTTGAATTTAAAGTTGCCTTATAAATAAAATTTAAAAAAAAAAGTTTATATTTTATTGTATCAAGATAACTATATGTATATATTGTAAATCTTAAATTTGTAAGAATATTAAAAGTGCCTATATGAAAGTCATGTACATAGTTTTAAAAAGAACAAGAAAACATTCCTGAAGATTATTATTTTGTACATAACCAGTTGTACATTTGTTTATTCTAGTTATAATTTCCCTTATTTATTTCATATTCATTAAGATTTTTATTTTATTTTTCACAATCAGTGATTAAAGCTTTATCAGAATTTATGAACTTAAGTTTTGTTTAATTTGTTTGTTTTTTTTTAGTTGTCTTCCATTAATCTTCCATGTTGTTACCATAAATTTTATTTCACTTATTTGTTTTTATCTTTATGAAAACTTTAGTAGATTTAAGATTTCGTTACTTGTTAATTATGAGTGCTGCGATTAAAATCATATTACAAATTATAAATTTAAAAAAAAATATGGATAAATAATTGTATTGACTGTGTCTAGTTTTATTTCAATTATCTTAGAATAAATGGCATCAATGATATTCCTGTTGAATGGATGTATTTGTTTATATAATGAATGAAGTGTGCTGATGTTTAAAACATACACTTCTCATTTTATCATTTTTTAAAATTAAGCAATGGTATTATTAATTCAACTGGTCTTTTTGATAATGAATGCTTAAATTTGTGAAGAATATATTTTTTCATACTTATTGTGATATATCAAAGAAACCACTCAATTTATTTGAATTGTTAAAATATTCACCTACAATATTGTGATTTTATTTGTACAAAGTGTTGTTACGATTTAATTTGTTAAAATTTAACATTTAAACAAATAAATGATTATGTCGATATGAGTTGTTCTTATCTCTGCATCGTATGTACATACACATATATATTTTTTTAAACAACACATTTGAATAATTTAGATCAATGTGACACAGAAGAAAGTCTGTTAAAATGTTTAACTTATACTTTTAAGTTTGCTTTAGAACATTTTTGTCTATAAGTATGTAATACATTCTTACTTCTGACGTTTTTTTTTTTTTCATTTCCCTTTCTTCCTGTAGAACTCAACTGCTGTGATTATCCTTTTTAACCTGTTATCTATAGTTTAGTTATTAATTAAAACAATGTTATTAATATTGAATGTATTTCTATATAATGACAGATTTTGTTTTAAATTCATACTGAGCTATTCTTCACGCTCACCTGCAGGCTTGGTTATAGATTGGCAGGACTTAATGTTAGGCATTTATAGTTCAAATAGTATGCCCTGCATTTTGTACCATAAATACCTGCCTAACTTGAGAAACAACTGTTTATATTATAAATGTTTTACATTTATTTTATCAACTTTTTTAGTTGAATAATTTATTTTTTATTTAACATGATACACTAATTCAGCTATTTAATTGTATCTAACATCAATTTTAGAATATTGATAGTGCATTAATTTAAAAAATTATTTTAGTTGAATTTGAATGCCATAAAGGATATTTTTATTATTCAATTTTAAAGTTGTATATTTAGCCTCAAAAATATTTGTTTCATTCTTAAATGCAAATTAATTTTAAAAAATCTTGGAAGCAAAAGTGCCAATTTTCAATCATTTTTCAGATGTTTTGATGAATCTAAAACTAATATCTTCCAGGAATTAGCTATTACGGTTATAATATGAGGAAAGTAAAAAATGATAATAATAATGAAAATTTTATTCAGGTTTATAAAACTAGATCTACATATTTTTCTTAACTAATTATAAAAATGGCAGGTGCCCCAATTTTTAATGAAGCTCTTTGCTGCAAGCTGAATTTTCCCCGAAACTTTTTTTTCAATCTTTGATGATCTATTTAAGTTCCATAAATCTGAGAATAACTGAATTCCTTCAATTGAATATTGGTTGTCCAGTATTTGCTAGAAGAGAAAGTATTAAATCAAATAACTTTTTTATCAAGATCTCTTATATAGTAATGGCATCATCAAATAAGTTATTTCACAAATTTTATTCAATTTCTATTTATAACTTTTAAATAAAAAATCCATACAATCGTTAATGGCCTCCTTCCCATAAAATCCCATACCAAAGCACAAATACAAATTGAAAAATCACTTAACTTTTTTTTTTGTCCTCGGGCAGTGGAAGGACTTTATTATATGTATATATTAGTATTGTTATACTTCTATGTGTAACTTATTAAATAAACGTTTTGGGGGGTTAGAAAGAAAAAAACTTTCAGAAACATCATCCTGTAATTATTTTTATTTTTGAGCTCATAAATGAGCCACCTACTGATTCATAAACATAACAATTTTCCTCAATTTCTATTAATTTTTTTTAAAAATAATCGCAGTAATTCAAATGTTTGTTATATAGTCTAAGTGATTATATCAATATACTTCGTGTCAAATAAAGTTTTAACTTCTCAAATTGAATTTTTTTTTATTTCTTAATGACATTTACAACTGTATTAAATAAATACATCTAGTAAATTTGGACATAATAGATATAATGACAGGAATACACTTGCTGAGTAACTACCCAATGGTAGCACTCTAATGATATGACTACATTAGGAGATCACGGGACCATCTTCTTTTCAGACGCCTCGGAGGGTTATCAGGAATTGAAGAGGAAGCAAGGTTAGAAACGAGAGGGTTGGGATGATTCTGAAGTTTATTATGGAAGGATAGGTATCTGGATTGGACCAGATCTGAAACATAGGGAACATTAAGATCTTTATGGATAATTTTATTAGTGACAAAGTAAGGAGCATTGAGGATTTTGTGAAGGATTTTGGATTGTAAGGATTGGATGCGAGAGGAATTTGATGGTTTAGTGGAGCCCCATTGCTCAAGTCTGTGTGAAAATGGATTAATAAGGGAGCAGTAGCATTAAGTTTGAGGCCTTCTGTTATTTTTAGTATTCATTCTAGTTTTGTCATAAACTATGTAATATTAAAGGAAGCTAGTCGACTGTTTTACACATCATGAGTGATAAATATTCAGGACGCAGTCATTATAATAATTATTTATTTGTGCCTACGTTTCAACCCAAACATGTGGGTCATCATCAGTGCTTGAACCACGTCCTGATGATAACCCACATGTTTGGGTTGAAATGTTGGCACAAATAAAAAATTTTTATGACTGCGTCCTGAATATTTATCACCCGTGATATGTATTACAATAGCTTTCTGCATTTATGTACTAACAAAATTTAAACCACCTTCACATTCTGACTTGAATATGCGAGTGCTTGGATGGTAAGATAACCATTTTTCCTACCCTAACTGGATTAAATTATATATATATTTGTGTGTTTATTCTTTATGTTTTTGTTTGTTAATATATATAAATTTGAACTAAAAATGTATATCATGTAAAACTAGAAAAGAAAATTATGTAGACAATTATAATTTTTGTAGTATGTCTTTAAGGCATGGAGTATGAAGGTGAATCAAATAAATGATCCTTGTGTGGGGTTACCATGAAAAGGAAAAAAAAAAAAAAAAAAATATATATATATATATATATATATATATATATATATATGTATATATTATATAAATTACATATTACCTATAAGACCATATTCACATATAGCTCATGACCTGAATTATCTGATCTGAATACTTATTATAGATTTGACTTTCTTTTTCTCTTTTTTTTTTTTTTTTTTTTTTTCAACAGAAACAGATTTTACTGTTAAGAAGAATATACATTTATTTTTTCTAAAAGGGTTTATTTATATTTTAACATTGTACATAGTTTTAAGTATCTTAGTATGGTTTCAAGAGTTTTTTATATAGATTTTTTTATTTTATTTTGTATATAGTATGTATAACCAATATTTTTTTCTTTTCTTTTCTTTAATGACCTATCATTATCTTAATCTGTTATGTTTGTTTTTATCTGGCCAGATGTAAAATTTTAATTTCTGTACTTTTTTGTTATTCTGAAGGGACTTCGTCCCAGAATAAAATTATTTTTCTATTCTCTATTCTATTCTATTCTATTTTATATATGAAAAGAAATGCGTATTTTTGTTTCGTTTTTCTTGGTCTAGTATTTTGCCATGAGATGGCACTCAAAATTCATTTACTGTACAATTGAAATTTATGAACCTAAAACAAGACATTTTTGCATATTTTTTTCACAAATTCAATTTAAAATAGTTTCAAAGGTATCAAAGCACTCTAGCAACTACTTCCAGTTACAGTCCTCAAATATTTTACCAAAAAATTAAGAATTTTTAGTGTAAATATCCAGATTTTTTAAATTATTCGTTGTTTTTGAGCACAAAATATAAATAAAAATTAATTGTTTGATACGATTCACTTTTAAATTTAAATTTAAATAATAATAATAATAAAAGTTCCGGTTATTAAGTTACTTTATTCAAGATGCAATTTATTTTCTCACCTTCCAGGAGGCGCGCCCCTCCCTTGGATCCCCTAGTGTGGATGTGAAACAAAAAAAAAAAAAAAAGGAAAAATAATGAAAGGCGGAACTACGATTGTCGGCAGGTAGTTAATATTAATTTGCCCTTCCTATTAGCCCATTTTTAACAGTGCTCTAAGTACTATATTTCGAGGTTAACATCACCCCTGGCGAATACTTCATTTCACAGAGTGAATTATTGTTAAAAAAATCAAAAAGCAGAAACAAATATTTTTAAATTAAACTAAAAAAAATAAAGGAAGGAGATGGTCAGGGGTTGTGGTCATAAATAGGCTAAATAGTGGTAAAACTATTTTATTGAAAGCCAACGTTTCGACCCGACTTTGCAGGTCTTCATCAGGGCTAGAACGGACAAGATACAAAAAGATAGAGAATTTTGGCAATTACATAATATTTAGATATAATTTATAAACAATGTGAATAAGCTTATTAAAATTATAAACAGTAAGTACAATAAAATATGGACTAAGCAAGCTGAGTAACAAGATTCTAAACTAAAGTAAATAGATACTAACAATTGTTGTAGTGTAATATATAATAAATGAAAATGTGAGTATAATTCTACAAAATCTACAGGAGAAAAAAATAAAATTAGAGACTTACAGGTGTGTTCATCTAGGAGTTTCACTTAGAACTGGAAAGGCAGTGGTAAGGATTGCAGGTATAGGGGAAGTTAACATGTGTTAACTAAGTAAACTTTGAAAAACCCAGGAAATTACAGTATCTAGAAATTTTTGAAGATATGGATGGTTACAATGGAAAAATACTATATCTATGAAATATTAAATTATAAATATATAAATATGTCGAGAGATGTGAGAGGTATTTCATGATTCTAGATCACAGTACAATGTGAATAAACCCAAAATTGGCAAAAGTAAAATATAAATATAGAAATAACTTCATTAACATACATACATTGCAGAGCTAACTTAAAAGTATAGAGAGGGAAAAAAAATTAATACTTATAATTATATTTGGTTGTACATATGTAAGAAAATTACATTTGAATATTAGATAATGAGACATGGTTAATAAGTAAAATTAATACAAAGTGGGAAAAAGGATGATCATACATTGGTGTATAGTGTAAATGTAAATTTAGAATAAAATAGAAGAGAGATCATACAAAGAAGGAATATTTGGAATAATGAACAATTAAATGAATTAATTATAGAGTATTTTTCCATTGTATCCAACCATAGCATGAGCACTTTTGAAGAGTTTTGAATTTTGGAGGGGTCACATTTCAAAGGGATTATGAATTATTATTATTTTTTTTTATTTATTCATGATATTTACAACTGTATTAAAAAATTAAGTATTATATTTAAAAATTAAGTATATTAAGTAAATTTTATGAATTATTGAAATAAAAAGTTGCAACCAGGAGACAGAAGGTAATAGTCAGTGGTACAGACTCTTTTTTATCAAATTATTAACATCTCCCTGAAACTTCGTAAATAGCTTCATCTCATTGTAACCTACAAATATTTTATTTATGAAAATTCTTGGAATTGGCGCGTTTTCAATATGGAGGTCATTTGTCTATTTAATAGGGTACTAAAAACTAGTAAATATCCATTTGCTTTCCACTTTAATCGTAAGATAACTTGAGCACAAAGTCAAGAAAAAAATATATTAAGCCGTTTGGCGTGACCTACACCCCCAAATTGTCAAAATAACGAGGTTATACAAGCCAAACGGCTCAATATTTTTTAAGGTAATTTTTTTTCTTTATTTTGTGCTTAAGTTATCTTTCGATTAAATTGGAAAGTAAATGGATATTTACGAGTTTTTAGTGCCTAATTAAATAGACAAATTTTGCCGATCATCACTAGCGCATTCCGGATTTAATTTTGGAGAGGACTTCAGCCCCAAAGCTTTTTTTCGTATATATAACGATAATTACTTTTTAAAAAAGAAAGCTAATAACAACCTCTATGACACAAGCGGATCCAGGATTTAATTTTTTTGGGAGAGGGGCTTCAGACCGAATTTTTTTTTTCATATACATATAAGAATAATTAATTAGAAAAAAATAAAATAAATAAATTAACTACCTATATCAAATGGTATTTAAGTGTTTCTTGAAGTTCTATTAAATGTAATTAAACGAACAAGAATACTTTAAGAGATAGTTTTTAATATTTTTTTTTTTTTAAAGATGGTCATATTTTACCATTTTGTGGGAGGGACTTCAGCCGGAATAGCCCTCCCCCCGTAGATCCGTCTGTGCCGACCACCGTTTTTCATATATTATTTTTCTTTTATAAGCATGATCATTTCATGCAGATTAATTTTTTTCTCGACAAAATCAAGTATTCTGGTAATTTTCGTATATTAATATTAATATTGATTTTTTAACTTAATGATTAACGATAAATATTTATTTCATGAGGAAATGAGTGAGTGTTGGTTAAATAATTAGCGTCTCGTTATTTTTTTTTTATCATGTATTCAATTAAGCAATGCATATTATCCTTTTTAACTAAAACATTTAATTCCCTTGAAACATTGGACAAGTCCCTAAACTCAGCGCTGAGCACATCGGTGGCATCGGGTCCATTTCTTAACTGGATAAATCGATGAGTTGAGCGCTGAGTTTAGGAACTTCTCCACTAGTGTTATTTATTTACACAATTTATTAGTTATAATTATCAGAAACAAGTTTTAAAACTACAAATATCTTTAAAACTATAAAGACATATGAGATATACTGTCAAGTTCAAATTTCAAACACTTTTAAAATAAAATTAAAAAATATTTTTAACATTAGATATTAAGAACATCTGGTAAAGTCAAATTATAATTTTCATTTCTTGTTTCATGATGAATATAGAGTGAAAGAAAAATGATGCCAAAAAAATCCAACGTTGGATATGATTCTGGGATGAAGGTGATTTATAGTATTTTTTTATGTATTATCTTATATAAATTTTAAAATATTTGATTCCATCCACATTTAATATAGTTTTGGCTAAAGCCACTGCAAAGTTTTTTTTTTTTTTTTTTTATAAACATTCTAAAAAAATATATAATTTTCCTCCTGAAACTATAAAAAAAAAATATAAAAATTTCATCCCAAAGGTTTTATCCCAATATTAGTAAAAATATTGGGTAAATAATGAAATATTGCCACTTTTTTTATTATTAAAAGACTTATGGAACATAGCTTAGTAAGTTCGAATAATTATTTTCAAATCATAACTATGAACAAAACGCGGGTATATTCCACTGCCTTTTACATTTTGAATATGTCATATGAATGTGTACAGGTAATTACTATTATAATTTTCTTCTGACAGTTAATCTACCATTTGTCATTATAATGTTAATAATATGGTATTTTGTTTTTTATGATTACCATAATCTAATAAGTTATGATGGATTCAGATTTTCGGAGTATTACTGCAGATAATGGAAACAACCTCTTCTAACTCATGGGTTCGGAATGAGTTCTTGTTTGTGCACCATACTTTGAGTAATTAGTACTTTTGGAGTTTAGAATATTGCCAGTTTCTAAATTATGCCGAAGAATAAAGGTAGGTTAATATGAATTCTATGATTTATCTGTAAACTTAATTTTGTTTCTTTTATAAATTATCGTTTATCGATTCCACATCATTAGTTTATTTGTTATTGTTACTTAACGAATATTTTATATGATATTTTGTGTTATTTTTTATATTATTTTAACTAATATATGTTGTCAATCTTGAGTTTAAGGTACTAAAACCAACTTGAGGAAATTATGTAGCAATCTAACCTAACTTCTTGTCATTTCAAAGTTTTTATTAAAATGATTTTCAATTATAGGAAAGGGAGGTAAGAATCGTAGGAGAGGAAAGAATGAAAATGAGACAGAAAAAAGAGAGTTAGTCTTCAAAGAAGACGGGCAAGGTTGGTAATGTGTTGCAATATATAAATCTGACTATGCATTTAGTTTTTCAGCGAAACCAGTTTTCGTTAGATTTTATAGTGATGTGCTTGGCTATGATGAGAATTTCTTACATATGTGACAATTTAAGTGCTTCAAGTGACAGTTTTCATGCGTTTATTATTTGTTAATAGTGTTTTCGGTAGAACATAGTTGAGTTGAGGATAATCCAGCATGTTTTTTTAATAAATAAATTCTGTGTATTTAGTTTTATGCTTTAAAAGGACTATTCTCTAAATAAAATTTAGGGTGGGGCAATACATCTTAGTTTTCTCACTGAATTAAATATTTTGTTTTGAACCCAGTGTTGGTCATAAGTAATATGTCAACATCTTCCATAAACCCTACTGACAGTATTTAAGTATTCAGGTTGTTTCTATTTATGCTTTAAGTTCTCATACATTTTCTCTCTGTTCTCTTAAGACAGTGTTATTTAAACTCGAGATACCGCTTTTATTACCAAAGAGAGCTAAACGATGTTCAGAATGGTCATACTGTGTCACAGTTTAAATTTTTTTGTTCTGTTGATGTATTCCACAATTATTTTATTAGTTCTTTGATAATTTAATCATATTTTAAATTGTGAGTTATAATAGATTTTTGTTTTCTTGTATCGTATATCAGGGTTACTTTAAAACTAAGAGGTGAAAATTGATTTTGAACCCGAAATGTCACCTTATTATTAGTCATTCAGACTATTTCTTTTAGGCTTTTTATTACTTTATTTCACCCAGTCAGATAATTTCAAATTCAAAATCAACTCTTGCACAACTAAGTTACATCCAAGTCGCCAAGTAACCCCAGTTTATGGTCGTATTTTTCTGTTATGAATTTTTCATTGTCAAGTTTTACGTTTAAATTATTATTATACTTACTTAAAGGTTTATTTTTGTAAATGAAAATGTTTAAAATTTACGTCTCATTGAAATTTTACATCATGTTTTGAAATGTTTTCATTTTTTTGTGTAATATTTTTCTATTTGGAGATTATGATATCTATAAACGTGGTATAAATAACTTTCAGTAAATCAATCAACCACATTAATCTACTAAACTTAAATATAATGATGGAATAACTTGAAGATTCTGCAGTTGAAGTCCTTATATTAAATATTCAGTTCTAATTACTTGTTTATTATATATTATAGATATAATTGTATATGTATTAATTAAGATGCTTTTGTGTACAGAATATGCCCAAGTCACCAAGATGCTTGGCAATGGCCGACTTGAAGCAATGTGCTTTGATGGTGTAAAAAGGTTGTGTCATATTCGTGGAAAGCTAAGAAAAAAGGTATTTAAATAGTTTTCACATACTAATTATCATATTTGTTTCTTTTAGTTTTAATTTCATATCTTTATTGCAGGTGTGGATCAATCAAGGTGATATCATTTTAATAGGATTGCGAGATTACCAAGACACAAAAGCCGATGTAATTCAAAAATATACACCTGATGAAGCTAGAAACCTTAAGACCTATGGAGAATTTCCTGAAACAGGTTTTTATAGAACTATCCTTTTATTTTGTTTTATATGTAGCTTGTAAATTAAGAGATGAGATCAAGTGGGTCATATTTTGGATCTGTCAAGTGTCACTAAGACCATTATTTCTTCATGATTAAGCACTTTCAATCTGCTTATGATCAAAGGAATGAGGAGGTGGTATACCTCTTCTGGTTTTAATGTTTCAAAAATATTTTTTAGATAATTTGAATATTCTTCTTTATGAAATATTTAAAATTAAGGATGAAATGTCGACTTTTATTAAAATAGCCGAAGCCATTATTTAGTTGGATTTATCTATTCGTAAATATCCTTGTTTTAAAAAGTGCATCTGTATTTGTGAATTTCTCTATCATATTAATCAAAATCATACGAATAATATTCAAAATAATATAAATCTTACTAAGTGTAAGAAAGAACACGTGGAAAGCCAAAAACCAGATGGATAGATAAAATCAACCGAACTGTGTGCATATAACTGTAAAGAAATAGCCCTAGACAGGCAGAGATGACGCAGGCTTGTTAAGGCGGCAAAAGATCTACATTGTTTGTAATGCCAACAGAAAAAAAAAAAAAAAAAAAAATAGTTTCGCTAAAGGGATAATGTCCTGATTTTTTACTAAGAGAAAAGTCATTAATTTACTGAGTGATTTAATTTTACAAAATAATAATCATGTTTTTTTTGCAATAGACTGACAATTTTTTGTCATTTGATTAATCATATCATAAATCTTGTTCTGTATAATTACAAATTGTTTTAACAGAATATTTACTAGTTCACTGTCATTGAAATTAGTTATTTTCTTCTCTGTTTGTTATTTAATCTATAAATCCATTACATCTGGCTTAAATTATATAGAAGAATATTTTAATTTTTTTCCTAAAATATTTTTGCACATCTGAGATTTCAACATGAAGGGAAAAGAATAATCTTATGTTTTAGTTTTTTCAACCTGTTTTAAACATGATAATGGGTTGAGCACTATATTATAGTAATTAATCATACTTATATTTTAAGAAACAAATATTTTGGTTAAAACATCTTCTGTGGTTTTGTTATCCTCTTTTGACTAATATTATCTTTTAATATTGTTTACTAATTATTTTCTTTTGTTTTAGTTCGTATTAACGACACTGTTACGTTCTTGGAAGAAGGTTTCGATGAAGATATCGAGTTCGGCTACGAAGTTAGTGATGAAGGAGAGGATAATACTGTAGATAATGTGAGTAATAAAATTTTTTTTCTTTCATTTGATAGCCATTCAGTTGATTTTTAAATAGCTTGTTTTTGCCAATCAATTTATTATTGTAATAGATGAGAAAATAATGAGTCCTTGTTGAAGTGGCATTACATTCAACACATAATTTTGCCATAAGAACTATTTCATATAAATATTTATTTTCAATATTCTTTAAGTAATAGCTACATTTCTATTGAAACACATTACTTTTAGAATAGTAGAAAATGTCGGTCAGATAACTAAAAAAAGTAACATAAATAGTAGTTAACAATTATTTTAAAGAATTTGGTTCTATGTAACAAACTAAACTAAGACCAACCATTCAATCAGCAAAAGTAGAGTGGCTTCATAATAAACAAATTTAAAACTTATGAGAGTAATATAATATAATAAACATGAAATCATACAATATAATAAAAAATACTGAGTTGAACTAATAGACAAGGTCATTCAAGTTCTTTAGATCATGGAGGTATATTTTTAGTTTTATACTGAATGGCTTTTAAGACACTGTTCTTCCCCTATCTGGTTGTAGGGTTTAGCCCAAACATAATTGAGTGCTGGAAAAACTTTTTGAGAAAAATATTAGACTAATTGTAATAATCCACCAAACTTTTTTATAAATAACCTTCTCAACCCCATAATATATATTACTGACTATTTTCATTGTCTAATTTGTTGAATGCACCCAGATTGAAATAGTTGAATGATCAGTAATTTAACGAATGGGTATTATTAAAAGCTAATTGTCAAAAAGTTCAATTCTGAATTAATATCTACTTAGCCTATTGATTTGTTTGATTGTTGGTCAATTATTCTTTTATAAAAAAAATGACTGAATAATTTTCTCTATTAATTATTTTAAAACTAAATCCACTGTTTCCTCTTTTCATAACTGCTATCCTTGCAATATAAAATTAAAATGAGTAAATAAAATAAAAATATAATTTTTTTATAGGAAGCAGTTGTAAAGTGCAACTAGGTACTATAGACGCGAGTATTTTGTATTTGTGTTTTATTTTTTTTTTTATTTTGAATACAAAATATGAAAAGTATTTTATATTTAAAATACTTTTTCTGTAAGTATCTTAATAAATACATGGTATTTAATATACATTTTATTTTAATAACACAAAATAAATGTATTTTAAAATAATAATTAAAATACTTTTTGCCTAGCAGCAGTATTTCTGATCAGCAGTATTAACTTCACGAATAGTTACTTTTGCAACTTATTCCTGATAGTGATACAATCAAATACATTTAAACATTACTACAGACCAATATGGGGTTTGCAGTAAGTGAGAACACAAAAATAATGGATTAATTTTGAAATCGTTAGCCAAATCATTATTATTCCTTGTAACTTCCTGTATTCATAACTGAATTATTATTTCTAGTTATTATTATTTGTGTAATTAAAGCTAACGCGTTACATTATGATCTGCCCGCTATAATCTGCTTCCATATGTAGGTCTTAGTGGAGAGTTAATCATTAACAATAGAAGAAATCTCCAGTTTAACCTTTATATTCTCTTAACAGAACTCTAGCCCCAATAAACAAGGACATAACTAATGTATTCAGTAGTAGAAAAAAGTCGATGTACTGAAAGAGTAGAGGACAAAACAAGACTATCCAAATGTAATAATAGAACAGTATGGAGCAACCCGAATGTGAAATACCGCAATTAGTTGGTACAAAACTGCAACTCACATTTTGTTTTTCTCTAATTCACCAACATTACTTATAGATTATTTACTAGTCTATACATAATTAAAAGGTTATATATTTCTTTCAATGTACATGTGAACCTTACAGTTGACAGTATGACTAACTGCAATTTCAAAATTTTTGAATTAAGTCATTTTAGTGACATTTTCCGTTGGAAAATTTATATCTGTACAGACAGTAAGTTGATTCCATAGTAGGTGATTTAAGTGTTGAAATATAGAACTGTGAATAAAGGTATACATTTTCCTGCTAGAAATATCACTAAAATTAATAATAAAAAATGTTGAAATTGGAGTTAGTCATTCTGTCAACTGAAAGGCTCCATATAACTAAGTTTCAACTTAAACTTTGTGTCGCTTAGAATTCACCCTTGGTTATTACTAACCACAGTTGAACTGTCAGTGTTACCTTTTTTAATATTTTATAACAATACATTTATTTTTCAAGTGTTATACATTCTTTTAATTATTCTGTATTTTTAATATTTAATTATTCTGTTGCAGATATGATACTCCGACATCACGAGTCTAAACATTTTCCTCAAGTTTACATCTCGAACTCCATAAAACCCTTCCTGAAATATATTTAATGTTGAAATATTAGTTTTTGACATTACTCATCATATAATAATGAGATTCACAAATTCTTTCTTTTTTTTTTAATTCTGTTAAAATTACTGTAAAATTTATATAAAAAAATTGTTTTAGTTATTAATACAATTATGAAAGGAATAAATACTTGAGAAGAAATTGTTGTGTGGAGTGATTTCTTTTTTTTTTTTTTTAATGAATTTTTTCTTCGAATTAGTTCCATTTTATATTTTATCCCGCATAATATTTATTTTTTTATTGATTGTATATTAGATTATATTGTAATAAGTTTTTTGCTTGTTTCTTTATATTGTATAAATTGTGTTTATTACTATTTTGATTATATGTTAACCATTAGCATTTGAACTTATGTGATTCATAGTTTATTGTACCATTTATTTATTTCATTTTATTATGATTAACTAAAACAATTCTTGTGTATAATGGCCAGTATTATTAAGGAAACAAATCTTATTATGATCGTCAAGTGTTCATATTAAATATTTGTTTATAAGCTATATAAACATTTTTCATAAAAAAGAGAACATTTATCATAGGGATTTGTGTTAGGGAGGGTTAGCTATAACTAATTTATTCCCGACCCTTTTCAAAATCTATTAGTATGTTAAGAATTAGTGTATTCTATTTATTATTAGGGCCATTATCGTCAAGTACTAAGTACTAATAGTTTAATGGCTATGAATCTTTTAGCAGGTTGCCAAATGTAAGTGTGTTTGTTTGCGAACATCCATAACTTCATTTTTGCGTTCGTTGGTGCATGATTTATTTTTCAGTAGTCCTTAATTTGTAAAATTTAAACGACATTCAGATGAGAAATATCAATAATGATTTTTCTTCATAATACTGGCCATCTATAAAAATATTTGGTTATTTGTATCGTCACGCATAAATTTCATTAAAAATTAGGGGTTTTGTTGTTATTAACTTTTATATTGTTTTATTTCTTTTAAGCAGAACACGATGAGGGATCTGTTCATTTTTAGGGCCTTTTGAATATTTAATGGATGTTTTTTGAGCAGTTGAACAAATATAAGGATTTCGATAAAAACATGTTAGTGGTATTTACTGATTCTTTATTTTCATTTCATATCATGATATTTCTACGCAAGATATTCTTTTCAGAATATTAAATAATATTACCAAAGAAATGATACTTTGTAAAATTGTTGTCTTTAACTCGATAAAGTTGTTTTGAAATAAATGCTAGATTATTTTTTTTTCTCCAAAATTTGAATTAGCTTAAGATTAAAATATTTTTTTTGTAATATCATTCCATTGCTATGATAAGTTTGTGTTTCTTTTCTTTTGAAAATATTTTTGTCATTTTCTTGAAGGACCCTAGTGGATGTTAGCTATTAAACAATCAACTTATCTATTTGTACTCATGGCATAAAGGCAAGTTAAATATCAATTAATGATACTTTTAAAATGTTAATATTTCTCTTAAGATTAGAGAGAAGAAAAAAAAAATTTGTTGACAATTGAACTACACTGTCTAGATTTTTCATAGTACAGAAAAGAAAACTATTCTCCTTTGTTTGGTAGATGAACTTCTTACTTAAACATATTTTGAAATGATTTAAAGAATAGTAAGCACAGTGAAATTAATATATTTCTGCATTATACTAAAGTGGGATCAAGAAGAAATCATTTCCAACTTTTGACTCATTTTCAATTTCAAATATGGATTCAGTGATAATCATATACATATTATCATTTTTATATTTGGGAAATGTCATTTTAGATCTGAGAACTTCCGTAACATCAAAGTAATATTAAAATTGTAGTGTTGGTAGCTTAAAGTATTTTAGTGGAATATTCATTTTCTTCTTTGTGAAAGGTGTTTCATTAAAATATTTTTTCATGGTTGGATATTTCATAAATAAAAGTTAAAAAAAGAGAAGAAAATGTTGATTGGACTATAAGTTTATTTTACTTTATCTTCCATGAATAAGAGAAGTAGACTTAAAAGAAACATTAGGTGACTTAGCAGGTTAGTACAATGTATTATACAAATTTCTGAGTCCAATATTTTAAAAATATAATTATAGAAAATGAAGATGTTAGAAATAACAAGAGTTAATTGATGTTTTCATATAACCAAAAACCAGTATACAATTTGTTTTTTAAATATTTTACTGGATCCAAGATGGGCGTATCCATGCTTTAATGTTGGGAGGGGCTTTGTTTTATTTTTTATTATATATATATTTTTAATAACGTTAATTGCTCTGGAAGAAAAAGAAAGAAATTATGTAGAATAAAATTTAAATGGTCCTTCAAGGCTTGAAAAAAAAACAATAAGTAAAAGATATATCCCTGCTGCACCCTTTTGCAAAAAGATTTTTTTTTTTTCTTCTTTATTTTTTTAATTCACAACTGTCAATGTCCACTGACAACCAGTGAATGAGATAACTGTACAAATAGATTAGGAGAAAGGGCATGATAGGCATGAGGAAGAGAAAAACCCAGTGGTTTATCTTCAGTCATGTTTGAGGCTAATTAAGGAGATCTCTCATCCAACTCCTTTTCAGCCTTCTGCGGATGTTATCGGGCATGTTTTTATTGGCCATGTCTTGGATGAACCTATTGGGGTGACCATAGAGCTTGTTGTGAAACCTTTTTTAGTAAGTTTGTATATGTTCTGTGACGGTTTGCATGTGTAAGTCTTTGTGGAGAGTTATGTTACTAACATACCAAGGTGCTTGAGTAATTGTTCTGAAGGTTTTGGCCTGGAATATTTGTAATTTCTGAATGTGAGTTTTTTTGGCAATTCCGTATATTTGTGATGCGTATGTCCTAAGTGGTTTTAGTAAGTAAGTGTAAGTATTAAGTTTTTGTCTTAGCTTTAGTTTTGAGCGACGTTCCAGTAGGGAATATAGTCTAAATTGTTGATTTAGTGTCTTTCGCTTAGCAGTGATGTGTCATCCCATGGGCGGATCTATGGGGGGAGGGGCTTTCGGGCTGAAGCCCCCCCCCCAAAATAGTAAAATATAACCATGTTTTATGGAAAAAAAACTTTTAAAAATACATCTTAAAGTATTATTGTTCGTGTAATTACATTTAAAAGGACTTAAGGAATCACTTAAACACCATTTCATGTAGGTAATTAGTTTCTTTCTGTTTTTCCAAAGAAATTATCGTTATTTTTATGAAAAAAAAGCTTTCGGGCTTAAGCCCCCCCCCCCAAAATTAAATCCTGGATCCGCTAGTGTGTCATCCTTCTGTCAAATGTTAGGCCTAGGTAATGTACTTTGTCAGATTGGAGAATATGTTCATTGTCAAGATAGACAGGAGGGCAGTTTTCGCGTCGGAGTGAAAATGTTATGTGTTGGGATTTGTTGTGATTTAGTTTTATTTTCCAAAGTTTGTACCAGTCGTGTAAGATTTGCAAGTGATTTTGTAAAGTATATGAAGCATGTGTGGGGTCATTGTGCCTTGTGATAATAGTAGTGTCATCAGCATAGGTGGCTATCAAAGTGTCACTGGAGAGGGGAATGTCATGTGTGTAAATTATGTAAAGCAGTGGTGCAAGAATTGATCCCTGGGGCACTCCGGCCAGAATTGGTCTGATAGAAAAGCTAATATAGTATTCCTTTATCCTGTATAAATTAAATTATTATATTTAAATATTTGATTATTATCAAATAAAAGTTTAGTCAGGCCATATTTGAATTGTCTCTCCAAAGTTGAATACTTAAATGCTCCGATTTTTGCTGCAGGTTTATTTATTTTATTTTTTTCAAAAAGTTTTTTTTTTTTTGTTTTCCTTTCAGTTAATGTGTGTTAAGTTCGGATATTTTTTGTAAGAAAATTTAAATAGTGAAAGAATTTTTAATAATAAAAAAAATGGCTTCACATTCATTTCCAATCGCAGCATTGCTCATCTTTCAAGTCGTCAGTTATTTCAGAATAACTAATAATTGTTCCTAGTTGTTGAGTTTCTTCTTATGAAATTATTTATACTTGTCATTATTTTCTTCAAATAGTCTTCCTTAACGATAAAAAGGGTAAGTTTAAATTTATTTTCAAGTGATTTTCCTCATTGAAGCACTAAAGAAAGTGAAATATCTTGATAAGTAATCGATAGGGTCTATTCAAAACCACAGAATAATTGCTAGTATAATTTCCTTTGTTAATTAATTTCTTGGAGAGATTTCCCTCTGTAAGATATGAATAAATCGTTATAATTTTAATGGTAGGCAACAAGTATTTATTGATTCATTATCTACTTTATTACCCATTAAACATTATTGACCTTATTAAAATAACAAGATGATGAAATATTTCTTTCTTTAATGTGAATATGACATTTTGTAGTTTATCATTGCAAACAGAAAATGAGAGAAACTAAATTTGAGAGTAGTTATGTAGTAAATTAAAAACAAATGATTTAAATTAAGACACCAAGTTAATAAATTGTTACAATTCTAAGAAAAATGTTTGATTACTGCCATATGAGCATTTGTTATATATTTTTTACTGATTGGACATTAAATTATAGCTACTGCTGTTAAGTGCTATAAATAAATATTAAACTTTTTTTTTATAGAAATTTACATTAAAAATATTCAACATTCCCATTGAGTCCATATGAGACAAAGGAGAATTTTTTGTTTTGTTTTAAAGTTGTTTATTCAGATTAATATTAACTTTTGAATTTTTATAAATATTTTATTTTTGATTTAAGATAATATTTATTTCAAAATAAAAGTTATATTTCTCATCAAAAAATAATTTTCTTATCGATGCATTGTATATGTTTTGATCTTATACTTATTAATACAATTATTACTTGGAACTCCTATTTACAATATGCATTCATGAATGTAAGTGAGATGGCATGTTTTCATATAAACTCTTACTTATTGGATTTTATTCTCTGTATTATTTAGGTCAGTTTTTTGGAAGTGTGAAGCTATAGAAGCCCTTTAAGATGGAACTAGAAACCCTTTAAGCTAACTGTATCAATTATACATGTAGGTGATGGGATGGGCTCTAACATAACTGTGACAAAGTTCTATATGGCTGGCAAGATTATATCACTTTTCTCATACAGGTGCAATAAAGTTAAATAAATAGTGATGTAGAGATGGTTGACTGTTGATATAGTATGAGAAGGAGTTAGTCGGGGGTGCGGTCAGATAAATACTAAATTAAAATATAGTAATTATATTTATTTTAATTTTGCCGACGTTTCGACCCACTTTGCAGGTCGTCTTCAGGGCGTAGGATGTAGCACTGTGGGAGGCAGTTGAAACACTGTCTATGCAGTGTCCGCACTAATATGTGCTTTTAAGATTGTTTGAAGATTTTATATTCGTTATTTAAAAATATTTAATTACAATTAATTAAATACACCATGATGGTTTGAAATATTAATTTTTCTCTTTTTGCAATGCAAACTAATGAATATGGAATATTCACTAATTTGCATTGCATAATTTAAGACAACTCGGTAGATATTTCTTAATGCAAGGTAACGAATAAAGAAAATTCAAAATTTTGCTACAAAATTGCGTTATAAAACTGAAAAATAAAATCCCGTCAAACAATTGGAAATGCCGTATTCTATGTTTTTCAATGAACAGAACCATCTTCTGTGCAGATACAAAACAGATCAAAGTAATGAATGTGACAAATTGAACACTTAGTAACATTTCGATTTTTAAAACATATCTAAAAAATTTTAATTGCAGAACAGTGTAAATTGTATTCAATACTTAGCCATAGAACATCAATGAACCTGCCAAATTTTCAATACAGTGCAATTGCTTTGAAAAAGTAATTCGGATCCGAGACTTTGCCACTGTATGCATCGTTTCTGAAGTAATCTACAGAAGTCACAAGAAAATCACAATTTTTCATATTTGATAGTTAGCATTTCTGTTGACAATATTATTATGTATTCAATAGTATTATAATATATAATAATGGATACGTGCATGGTACATGGATTTATATACAACTGTCGGAGAGGAGTAGAGACCAAAATAATAATTAAATCAAAATAAATACTTGATTGTGAACTTGAATTTTTAAATGTTTTAACTTAAAGTTTAATTACTACAGTATTATTCATTTCAGTGTACTCTTGCCTTATAATATTGATGTTTTTAACTTTACTTTTGTGTTCTTTATTGCTAATCAGTTTTTTTTTTGTTTGTATATATTCAATTGAACATTTTTTTTAT